ATCACCTCATCCACTCCATGTCACACTCACACTGACGAACAATTCGCCGCTTACCTTTCGGGTTCCACTCGAGAAAGAGAGATCCTGGCGTGTGATGTCACTTGATGGTTGGTTTTCTCAGATTATAGCCAATCCCTCTTCATTTCTTCCTGCCTATTTGTTTCACAATCGGTTCCTGGTTGGCTCACTCATTGCCAGAGATCTCTTCCTGTTGCTAATCATTTCTGGGCATCTGATCTTGAGTATTGAGCGAAGACAGCTGTTAATGAAGGTTTGTAGTTTATTTGAAGTGCTCTTCATGACGCGCCAAGTCTGTGATCCATAAAAGAGCACCGACTTCACATTGGAGTTCAAAATCCGGATTTTATTTTTCATGCTGAGTGCTGTTGATCTCCACACAGACTTGCCTTGTTTTCCCAATCCTTGTTTTGATATCCTCATCAGTTTCATCCGCCTGTAGTTGAAACGGTGCTTCGCAGATAGATAAAGGAGGTAGCTTCTTTCAGATTCTACCCATTTATGCTGATTGTTGCCTGTTATTGTTGCTGTTGCTGTCGGTCGAGAAACTTCGTCACCTCTGTCTTCACTTTGTTCACTTGAATTTCTATCTTTGATGCTTCTTCTTCCAACTTGTTGCTTTTCATTTGCATATCTTCTATTTTATGTGAAATCAGGCACATATCGTCGGTGAAATCCAGATCCTCCAAGTATTTTGTGTGGGTCCAGTTTATGCTTGTTTTCTCGTTCCCCGCTGTCGTTCGCATTATCCAGTCTACCGCAATCAGGGAAATCATTGAAGATTTTAAGCAGCCAGCCGGCTTCGTCTTACTCCCGTCTTCACTTGGAAGGATTCCGTGAGTTTCCCAATGATTACCGGTAGCAATAAACAGATTTCAAATATGGCTACCGACCGCAATTGCAGATTTCATTTAAACAACACTTTCGTGTTCATGATATTTCAAAGTTTCAATTTATGTACTGCGTTACATCCATAGAACAAACAATGACAGTGATCATTCCTTCTTGTGGATAATCAGCATAAACATAAATCCATATGACAAACACGAAAATCACCTTTCCCGCCGAGAAGAGGAAAGCCGTTAGCCCATTCAAAGTCTAGACTGCAGTCATCAATGTATGAATATCAGAGTAATTTGTAGAATAGCGACGTTGTTCAAGAAGGAATCTCACACAACAAACACCCCTAAAATGTTTTAAAGTTAAATGAATTTCTGAGAATCAAAATGAACACTTGGTATGAATTCTTAATGCAGTGGAAATCAATCACGATAGAACTCACATCTCAGTTGGGGAACGTGTTGAATTTTCCATGCTGTAAAAGAAAGAAGCAAACGGATCATTTGTTAGAACTAATTCGATTTAATCAACTTCTATACAGGTTTTGATCACTAGGTCAAATAATTTACATTTAATTAAACTAGAGGTCACTTAGTGAAACATTTCCGCACTATTAAGCAGCTACAGTTGAGTATGTTACGTTTAGTGATTATGAGTTAATTAGTTCCACTTATCGGTAACTGAGGTTTTCTTAAACGCCAGTCATTACTCAGATATACCTTCACCATTTGCTGAAAGTATGCAGAAAGGAGTCGGCTATATTCCCCTTTATTATGCTTTCAATGTTTATGTCCGAAATGTGTACATCTAGCCATTTTGTTGGAGTGTTTTCACTCAGTTATAAACTTGTCAGAGTATTCCTTATTTCTAAATACATTTGTATTAAACGAAAACTCTAATGTCAAGAATACTTTTGTATGAAATCTCATAAAGTCGTAGAGTTTTGTTAACCCGACGATAGATAGTTCAAATGAAATATTTTCTGGGTGGTAATATCGAGGTTACTGGCTTAACTAAAATACACGATAATATTATTCTGAATGATGTACTAAGCAAAACTGTTGGTGGAAACGATGCAGCAACTAAAAGTGTGATGCATAAATGACAATACTTCGACGGTAAGTATATGTTCTGCTGTAGCTTGATACCAAGAGTGCTATTACCGATCAGTGCTTCATGACTTACAATGAGGAATGCAGTTTGTAATTTTATGTTACTGACTCTGGTCTCTGTGATTTTCCATCTAATGTTTTGCAATTCGCATGCAAAATCGTCCATACCTCTGGTATTTGCGTTGAGTCACTTCTGTTGCATGTGTTGGGTATAGTAGACTCGATGAAACAGTCAGGAATCAGTAATCAATCTCTCTCGCTCTCCACCTACCTATATTACCTTTTAGAATTTTGACTCTGTCCTACACAACCCTATTGTGTGGTTGTGTGTTAATGCATGCAGTGCGATTGCTGAGCTGTTTTCTAAATTACTTATCTTCGCGGGTGGGATCAATCCTTCTAACCTTAGCTAAATTCTTATGTTCTGATAATCTCACTACTCCTGTCTGATCTACTAGTTTGACTGATCTATGTAGTTGACTTCACTCACAGTCATTGTAAGGCATTTTGTAAATTATACTATTTTGTTTAATTGGGACAATCGACAGGGTCCTTTAACCTACAGAGCTTGTCTTACCTGAGTGAGTTTGTAGGTTTGAATACCCCCTGATTCCCGCTTTATTAAGAATCCTGCATAGGGTCTCAGATATCCCCCCCTTATATAGTAAAATTGTAGATGCCTTGTATTCTTTGTTATTTATGTTATCATTACTAGTTTCATAGTTATTTTTAGTTTGCTTTTGGCCTTTCCTAATCTTCCTAATGAATTTTAAGGGATGGTTAGTTATTTCACACCAACGCCACTTCTATCTGTTTAATTTCATCGTTTAGGTTTTTAGTTGTACTACTTAGTGCTATTGGTCAGTTTGTTTGTCAGTCACACGAACCTGATGAGAATTTTCTTTTATTGTTGTAGCGAGGTATATTGAGAAATTGGGCAGACTCTGCGCATGACAGTTGTCTGCAACTGCACAGAATACAACAACATCGACTAACAGTAACAGTCTGTATTATACCCATACACATGTGCTCTGTGTGAGTGATACCAAATATGTGCACTACACATTTCAGAGGAACCATTTGAAAATTGGTTGAATGAATTACACTCATATTAATATATGTGTAAAACCTGGGCACTGTTGGAGTAAGGAATTCCATATTAGTTTGTTTATTAGATATATCACACATGATGTGAAACAGTATTATTTACTGGATGACGTTTCTAACGAAATTTACTGTTCATAATCATTTCATCAATTATAATCACACGACTTCGAAACCTGAGTTTAATAGTTTTCTTTATTCTCTCCTATCCGTCATCGTAGGGGTAGAAGAATTTTTCAGATGTCCGACTGGACAGGTGTTGAATCATTCCTATTAGACGTGTTTGCATTTGATTCGATAAACAAAGCTTCTGTTATCAATCTCTCCCTCCACCCAGCTGTTAAATTAGATTTTAAAACTGTCATCCTATCCCATCCTATTGTAAGGTTGTGTGTAATTGCATGAAGTGAGTGGTATAGCTGCACTATTCTCTAGATTTCTTATCTTATTCGGGTCAACTAATCTAGATTTCACTGCTAGGTGTTTACTTCGGCTAGTCTGACTGCCTCTGTCCTACTAGTTTGGCCTATGTATTTGACCTGACAATCATTACAGGCAGGGTATTAGATAAACTAAACTGTTTTGTTTCGAAGGCTCCACAGGATTGATCCTTTAACCGATAAAGCTTATTTATAATCGAGTTTGTGGTTGGTTTGAATGCTAGCCACGTTTATTCCTGCATTGTTAAGAATTCTCCGTAAGGTGGTTTCCATGGTTCCCTCTTTGTAAGAAGTACTGCTGATAATTTAAATCCCCTCTTGTCAATGTCATCACCAATCTGTGCACTTTGTCATGCATTTCGTCACTAATATTATTATTATTATTACCATCATTACTACTACCATTATTAATTTCATTTTTACATTTTCCTAAATACTTCCTGATTAATTTATCAGGGAGTTTCAAAGCTTCTCTTATATGCCTCACTTCCTGTCTTAGATTTTCCTTTTTACTTATTAGTTTTTGTGCTCTATTACTTAAACATTTCACCAATCCCATTTTTACCGATTTGGGTGCGATGATTGGAAGTTCAAATATCTGTTTGAATGTGTGGGTTTCCTGTAAACACTCGTGTTTAACTTCCCATCTTCTTTCCTTTTTTACGCTGCAATCCAGCACTGGAAGCTCTCCACTTCCTGACTTTCCAATCCATATGTGAATTGAATTGCCTCCACCTTTGAGTTGACGTGTTCTAAAAACGTATCTATATCCTGTGTTCTAAGTACAGTGAATATGTCATCTACATACCTCCACCATACTTTTACAGTGGAGCTGAACGTTTCAATCGCTGAGTTGCTCCACCTATCCATGAATATATCTGCCACAACCAGGGATATTGTTGACCCCACGGCAACTCAGTCAAGCCAGTATTTAAAATGCATTTGGAAGGGTGTGATAAGTGCAAATAGACTAAATTAATTTCTTTTAGCCAGCTGGAAAAGACTGCAGAGGACAGCCTGGATTGGAGATATGAATCTGACGCACCATTTTCCACTCAGGATCGAAGCGAAGAATAACAGATATAACAAGTTTCGACACTTGATTTTGTGATTGGATCAATTATTGAAAATTATCATCGGAAATTCTCTCCTGTCACAATGTCCACTCCCTAAAGTTCCACATTACATTATTCATTTCGAACTTCGCTCATTCTAAATTTCTGAAATTGGTCAATGAGTTCAACTCACAAACTCATCAGTTACATTCTCGTAACTCATTTTCTCAACTCCGCTAATGGCATTTCACGTTGAATCACCTAATCAACCTCAACAATGGACAGGCAAAATGTCATAAAAATATGAACAAAAGTGTAAGAATCAACAGGGAAAATGTAAATGTCATAAGTGAATGACAGATCGTCTGTTCTATTAAATGTCATGGATAAATTATAAGGTAAATTCAAAATGCATCTTAAGCAGAACTCACTCAGTTTTCAAAGATTTGACCAATTCATGCACATAGTCCCACAACATTTTATTACCGATTGGAGATACTGCGAATTCAGGAATCGCTGACCAGTATTGTCTGTCCTGTTTAATCCAATCAAAGTATCTGGGATATGAACAAACGGAGGAGACAGTGACGTCATGGTCGGAATGCGACAGTTAATTTAAAGGAATTCATTTTGCTCTTTTAATCAATTCAAACATGATACCTGAATATTACCTTTGTGTTATGCTGTCAACTGAAACGACGAGTTTCGTAGCCGTCGTCACATTTTAGGGAAACAGGAATGTGAGGAAGAAGGCGAAAAGTGGCAGAAGACAGGAAGAAAACTATCAGAGGATACTGCTCCACAAAGTCAAGACGTTCTACTGAGTCTAGCAGTAATTTGGTTATTTCGTGTATCCATGTAGATTCTTTCTTACTAACCCAAGTCCTTTGTGTATTGTGCATCCTCTTTCGGAAACATTTCGCCTAAAGCCAAGTTATTCCCTCTGAAATTAGATTCTCTGTGAATTTAAACCTTAAATTTTTGGCTATTTTTATTCTGTCTGTCTGTTTGGATTCAACATAGAACTTGGCACCGAAGTGCACCAGTTCGAGTTGCCACGTTCCAAATAGCACACAAAGGTAGACAAGAAGATGAGTGAAGAGAATCAATAGAGTTTTGACAGGTTTAAGAGTGAAACAGAATGAGTAATGGTAGAAAGGAATATGAAAGATTACAGAGACTGAATACATCTGCGTAAGCCAGTGACAAAGATTTTGAGCCATGTCACCTATTGTCTCCAGTCATTGATTCTTAGAGTTCCGAGGGCCCCAACCCGGAAATCTGCATCTCCCTACCTGACTCAGTTTAACTGTCAAGGATTTCATGGATTGATGCCATGTTTTTGTTTGGCCACCACTTACTCTTTTCCAACCTGCTTTTATATCAGCTAGTAATGCCCGTCGGGGGAGGCGATGGTTAGGCATGCGCAGCACATGACCTAGCCATCTCAATCTATGTAACTTTATAGCCTCTTCGATTGATTTTCCCTCTTTGCCCGACACTCTAAGCCTAACGTCAACATTTCTTACCTTATTATCCCACCTAACGTGAGAAAGGGAGAGATCGTAGACATTTATGATCAAAAACAGTCAACCTTTTCATATCTTCAACTCGTATTGGCCATGTTTCAGAGCCATAGAGAGGGACGAAGCGAACTGCTGAGCAGTACACACATCCCTTGGTTGACAGTCGGATGTCACGCCTACGCCAGAGATGGCGTAATTTAGCTGAAGCAGCCCGAGCTTTTTGGATCCGTGCTGAGATTTCGTCACCAATCAATCCGTTGGTGCTGATACAACTTCCCAAATAGGTGAAGTGGTCAACATGTTCTATCACTTCACTCCCTATCACTAAGCTAGGAGTTGACGTAGTCCAGTCCTATGAGACCTACATATTCTAGAAAACTCACTCGGTGGCCATTATCATGATCACCATAAATTATTGGATTATTTGATTAGGTCAGACACCTTATCAACTATTTTGTTTCACACAAAACAGTTCATTGCAAAAGAAGACTTAACTGATAACAATTTTGACAGTGAATTGAACACAATCAATCTCAACTTGCTTATTCGACGAAATTGAAAGGCATAAAATGAAATTGTGATTGGTGACAGATGGTCTAGTCTTTCTTCGTTTTAAATGAACAAACATCGGGTGAATTTATTGTTCTTATTATTATAACGACTTACAGTTTCATGGTCCATATATCACGGGAACAAGATAATCCTGTCAAGATATTTTCTTTTTCAACATCTTCTGTCTCATTAACATTGTACTGATTTCTGAGGAATTTCCACTCTGCTTGCCCACCAAATCTGATAGCTGTACAGTAGACTGCTGATTTCAAACCAGGCGGTATGCTATGGAATGTGTATTCAGAGTTAACAGGGGATAGAATCAGCAATATAATCAGACTAAAGAAAACAAATTTTAAATTGGGCAAATTAACTATCCCACCTTATGGTATCAATTGGATGTTAAATATGGTTCCACCTTTGTATAGTAATAATTGTTTGTGAAGTCTCTCTTAAATGATCTATTTACGATATTGTTACCTATTAAGACATTCCAATCAACTCTGTGATTATTGTTTTTTTCCTAGACTGGATATCCCTATTATTTGTCTTTGTTCCTCTTCAATCTCTAATTTTAATGCTTCTCTTTGTGGTAATGTGTTACTTTTGGACTGAGATTTTGTTTGAGAGAGTTAAGGTGATTCTCAACTTGAAGTGTATTCGAGAATTGTTTGTTGGGTGATTCTTGTAGACGGAGTTTCTATCCCACCTAGCTGGGAATATTCTTCTTGATTCCCAGGTACTTTATCCAGTTGATTTTGACTAAATTATTCTGTTGTATGGTACTTCTCTCGTATCTGAGAACTGATTTCATCTGTATAGCTGCTTAACTGGAGTGTTGAGGTGATTTTGCGTTTTGATATGTTATGACTGTATTTAATTGTACCGTGGATTTTATCATAATTAACTGCCTTTTTACTACTGTCCAGACATCTTTGTGACTGTGAGTAAGCAAAATAACGAACTTATGGCGGCCTGTTTAAATCACTGAGCTGCCGAAATTGCTTTCCAGCAAAATGCTTAATTTCATCTGGATTTATCGTTGTTTTCATCGCCCAGATATATATCAAATAACCTAAACATGAACTTGAGCGCTGACTGAACTTGCTTCCAAGTAAACGCTGTGCAATTCTTCGGGGAAATGAAGATATACTTCAGATTATTACTTTACGTGTAAATCCCCTTTCAACAAGAAAAGCATTTTGGAACTTAATACACTGAGCATTTTTATAGTGTATGTTAGCATATTGTGTGAAATAAAGGTTTGTTATTATTTCTATTATTATTAAGTGCTGGTTAGCTATACAGTAGAACACAAAGCATAGGCTTCCTGCTTTCAAACCACAACACGCCAGTGTTTGGTCGTTACTGCCTTTTCTCCAGTGTTTCTTCGAAGTTTGCGTTGAAACTTGCCTGTAAACAGATTACTAAGTATTTTTCGAAGTATTTCGCAATAATGTTTACGCCATTTAACATTAGATTTGCTTAATAGAGAAATTGTCGCATGTTTGAATTTCGACTCCTCTTATGGAACTAAACCATAACTACAGCTAATGGATTATGAAGAGAAAATTTGACACACTTCAGAGAGTCATATCTATGAAGAATGCATACTTTGAGGATGTAGTTGGGTCAAATATATCTGACATTAATAATTGAAGGCCAAGTAGTGGGTTGTAGGGATTTGATTGGCTGCTTACAGGATTTCATCATGAGCTGTCGTGAATTGGCCACTGGATCGGGTCAACGTGGCTTGATGGTGTACGAGCTGGCTCGCCTTGTAACCAGAAGACCTGGGTTCCAACCCCGGTTGAGGGTGAGGACTGCGATGAGTCCCAAACAAAGCTGACGAAACAGCTGGCTGTCCAGTACTCCCACCTGGTTTTCCAATGGTTCTCTAAGCTATATCAGCTCATGATGAAATCCTGTAACCAACTGAAGGCCAAATCAGCACATTTCTTATGAACAGATCATCCATCAGCCACTTCATCATCAATCAATCAAGTTCGTCCAGATATTTCAATAAAATGTGAGCGACAAGTTGAGGTTTGTCAAAGAAACGAGTTTGTATGAAATTCTCTTGAAATTTATATTTCAACTTCATACTCCAATAATGTTTATTCTGCTGCGGCACACTGATTGCTCAAAATATATTTATGAGTAATATATACACACCTAACGAGAAATGGATTCAATAACACCATAATATCCATCAGTCATGAAAATTATTCACTGGTATTCATTCATCTTTCTATTTAGTTATCAAATTCATGTCGTATTAATGAGTTTCTTTACCGTTTCACTTATCTCAAGAGATCTTAAAATGAGTAAGTGTTCAGATTCGTTGGTTGATCAATAAAATGTGCCTCAGTATGGGAGGCATAAATGGGAGATAGACATCTGCATCGTTGGAATATTTTGACATTTATTTAGACTAAATGATCCTCCCTAATCAAATTAGGTCAGCTATCCATCTTTATATTGGAAAGTGTCACCGTATTCCCCACAAATCAGGGTAAGTAATGGAATGCTCTCTAAGACTAAATACATGGAACAATCTAGACAGCCTGTCTTAACAACACATCTCGAAAATGTTAGTTACTGTTCTTCAGATCCCCTCCACTTCGATTCAACCAAATTTCTTGGCGACTGCCTCATTATACATCAAAATAAAAATTCAGGTTTCTTCAATAACTCACGGATTTATCTCAGGCGCCGACATCCATATTGTTAATAATACTCGAGCATTGTGTAGACATAATTCATGCTCAACATGACAAGCAATTTGGCTCAAGGTTTCGCGTAACAAACTGAAGATCAAAAACAACAAAACAAGACAAGAAATTAAATGCGAATCTACCTATTTGAAGAGTTTCCAGTCATTGATAACTGAATATAAAGCACATAGTTGACAGACAATAAGGGACTACAAGTTAATTCCAGTGTCAGTATAAGCTTAAATATCCTGCATCGCTGAAATCTTCATGACTAATTAAAAATTGTCAACTGTTAAACATTTTACTCCTGATCACTTTTATCTATTCCCACTGTTACAGCTCTATTCCTGATGACAGCAAACTTAGCTAGACCTTTACTTTGGCTTTCTTCACTCCCATCAATTGTTATGTGACTATAGTTAAGAATTTAATTCCACTTTAGTCGCTAACTGATTTATCACTTTGTATTGAGCAATTTTCTTTAGAATCTCGACGTTTATTTAGTCGTCTCAAAATTTTAGTGATATGTCTTTGGAAAGTTTTCTTTTGTTGCTCTGACAGTGTCTTAGGTGCATTCGATTCTACAGTTTGAGAATGATATCACTGCAACGAGTAATTCGTCTCTGAAGGCCTCTTCTTTATGTCAAACTCTATCCATCAACTGACAATATCAAGCTCAAATCTTAACGCATGAATTAAAGAACTGCCTGAGTAAGTGTATCCTTTGGCTTCTTTGTGTAAATCAATTGTATTTTGCAAAGTATAACTATTTAAGGGAGTAAAAGCCTAGTGCAAAATCTTTTTGTATTAGAAATCTCAGTATTAGCTTCCTAGAAGTGAACAAGATACTCCTCAGTTTTGTAGCGAAATTGAAGTATTTAGATGACATGCAGAAGAGTCAGCTTTGAACGTTTAAATGTTGCATTCTGTAGCATTTCTTTGTTTATTTGATGGAAGTAATAGAGAAGATTTGTAGCTCAGGTGGATTATGTTAATATGGTTGTCCTTCCTAAGATAGGCGACTTAACTGCGAAGCTTGAGCTGAACATGTTGTCTTGAAGAACAACGATAACTTCTTAATTAAATCACCCAGCTTAGAAAACACAACCTCATCCAAATGTATGGAAGCATTCAAAGATTATAGGTGTTTGAAGATTTCTTAGTTTTCATCAGTTTTGAAATTCGAGGGCCTGTACCACTTTATTTTACATAACAATTATGCATAAGTAGTATGACGAATGAAGGAATAAGGAAGCGACATAACTCACTGTTTCTCTTCATCGCGATCTTCTCTCACAGTTGTCCAATCAACCTCTCTCACGGCTTCATTTACAAGGTGACGAACATATGCCTGGTAATCTCCGTAATTCTCATTCAAAAGAAGCATTCGATGAAGATAGAGAAGAGCTCTTCCGGCAGTTGTCCAAGCCACATATTGCCTCTCCTGGCTTAAATATTTCGTCAAGTTCAGGAAAGTAGTGAATGATACGTTACCATAGCTGAAAGAAAGTGGAAAATATGAGAGATCTTCACTTGTACTCTGATGGGACACTGGATAGTAATAACTAGGTGCCATGTGTCTAGTCCTTTGTTCAATGCAGACTGAACTTCGTTTGCTATTTCGTTTTCAAACTGTCACTGATCAACACAAACTATCTCAGCCTCAGACTTATAGACTCTTGTCATTCTGAATGGTCGCACTCAGTATGTACTTCTAATAAACTCCAGTGGTGATCTCATAGAAACAAAAATGTCTGTATTTGTATATTTCCTCTTGAATGTGAACAACAACTCCAAAATCTAATTCACCTTAACAGTCCATAGGTTGTTGATAATTTTCGAGGCAATATGGTGTGTGTAAACATTCTGTGTTTTAGAAATGACTTGTTTTCTTCGAAACATTGAGCTACAGATACCTGTTTAAATGTATCATCTTTTACTAATGACATTAAGAAAGTCAAAATAATCAAGGCGTAATGTTGGAGTAAATTATTTACACTGGTTTTGAACAAGAATGCAGTCTCTCACTCACTGTCTGAGATATCATGCTAATGATGAGAGAAATATAAGCAGATTTAATGTAACTATGACCGGATTTCCACACACTGTACACTAAGATACACTTTGCAGTTCCTATCAAAACAACACAATTGAAGTAGTAACGTCTTGGCTACTACTTCACCTCTGAATGAAATTCCTCAAGGCTATAATTTCTTCCATTTAGAATGACGCATATAGATGTAAATTTTGTAGAAATCATCTGCTGTGTAAACTCATTATTATTATTATTCCCTAGGGTTTCTAGTGTAACATAGAGCTTCAACTCTACTTGCTTCTGTCTTCTGCTGTACTTTTCACTTGCATCCATGTTAGTCCATACTGCTTCACCTCCTCTTCACACGATCTCCTCCATGTCACCCTTGGATGTCACACTCGCCAATTCCCTTTCGACGGGTTCCAATCGAGCTATGGCCTGACGCGCGATGTCACCCAGTGGCCTCCTCAGCGAGTGTCCAATCCATCTCCACTCTCTCCTGCATATTTGTCGGGCGATTCGTTCTTGTTTTGTTTGTTCCCATAGTTTCTGGTTCGTGATTCTTTCTGGCCATCTGATCTTCAGTAAAGAACGAAGACAGTTGTTGATAAAGGTGTGCAACAGGCTGTTGGAAATATTCTTTGTGACCCGCCAAGTTTCTGATCCGTAAAGCAAAATTGACTTCACGTTTGTATTGAAAATCCGAATTTTGTTGTTGATCTGAGTGACGAAGATTTCCAGATTGGTTTCAGGTTGATGAATGTGTTTCTCGCCTTCCCGATTCTCCATTTGACATCCTCGTCCGTTCCTCCTGTAGTTGAGACAATGCTCGCTAGATAAGTGAGTGAAGCAACCTCTTTCAAATCACTCCCGTTGATAGTGATTGGCGCTGGATGTTGCGGCTGTTGTTGTTGTTGGTTGGTTATTCTCATAACCTCCGTCTTGTCTATGTTCACCTGGAGGCCTGTCTTTGCTGCTTCTTCGACCAGTTTGTCGGTTTTCGCTTGTAAGTCTTCGATTTTGTGTGACATCAAACATAAATCATCCACGCGCGAAATCCAGGTCTTCTAGGTTCTTCACGTCGGTCCAGGATATCCCTGTCTCCTCGTTTCCTACTGTCTGACGCATAATCCAGTCCATCACAATTAGGAATACCATTGGTGATAATAAGCACCCTTGTCTGACTCCTGTGTTTACTCCAAACGCTTCGCTGAGTTTTCCGTTGTGGATCACTTGACATGTGCCGTTGTCGTACAGCTGTTGAATAAGGTTGATGAATATTTGGGGTACGCCGTAGTACTCGAGTAGTTTCCAAATTACTTCGCGGTCAACGCTGTCAAAGGCCTTCTCAAAGTCTATGAAGTTGAGGTAGAGGGTTGATTGCCATTCCGTGCTTTGTTCCATGATGATGATGCGTAGAGTTGCAATTTGGTCAGAACATGATTTGCCTTTCCTGAATCCAGCTTGTTCTGGTCGGAGTTCTGTATCCAGTGCGTCCTTGATTCTCTGCAGGATGATGCGACTCAGAATTTTACTTCGCGTCAACAGGAGCGTGATTCCTCGCCAGTTCTTGCAGAGTCCCAGGTCGCCCTTCTTTGGTAGTTTCACCAGGTAACCTTTCCTCCAGTCAGTAGGCACTTTTCCCTCCTTCCAGATCTTTTGCAATAATGGAGTCAGCATATCTGCTGTCGTTTCTGGGTCCGCTTTCAGTGCTTCCGGGGGTATTCCATCTGGTCCAGCTGCTTTTCCAGCTTTCAGAAGCTTGATTGCATTCATGACTTCAGTTTTCGTCGAAGGATTGGTGTCAACTTGCAGTTGTGTACGTGCTGTTGTTGGTATTTCTGGGTGGGTTGTAGGTGGTGGTCGGTTCAAGAGTCCTTTGAAGTGGTCCGCCCATTGTTTAATCTGTCTTTCTTCTTTGGTAATTGGGTTCCCTTGGCTGTCTTTTATAGGTTTCACTTGTGTTGATCTCTTCCCGGATAGGGACTTGGTTATCTGATATAGTGTCCTCAGGTCCCTTTTGCCTGCTGCCTTCTCAGCTTCAGTAGCCAGGTTTTCGTAGAATTGTCTTTTGTCCTTCCTGGCACTCTTCGTCACTTCTTTGTCCAGTGCTGTGTAAGTTAGGCTCGGCGTCTCTTTCTCTTGTCCGTCATTGCATTGAATCATTTTCTCTTTCACCATTCCCCTCTCCTCTATTAGCTTCCAAGTGTCCGTTGAGAGCCATTCCTTGTCTTGTTTCTTCTTTCTTCCTAAAACCGTTGAACACGTTTCGTTGAAAATTACCTTCAGAGAGTTCCAGTGGTCCTCCACGAATGATTCCTCAGTGATGTCACGTAGTGTTTCCTGCTTTGCTCTGACAGTTGCAGTGAGAATGTCCTGTGTGATTGTGTCCTTCAGTTTTTGCGTTTTGAACTTGCATTGTGGCCTATCCCCGGGTATCCTCGAGGCTTTCAGCTTCACCTTGAAAGTCCCTTGTACTAGATAGGGGTATGAACCCACATCTGCCCCTCTCCTCAACCTTGTTTCCAGTAGGCTCCATCTCCATTTCCTTGAGATTGAAATGAAGTCTATCTGGTTTTTGGTGTGTCCATCTGGTGAAATCCATGTCGCCTTGTGTATATCCTTGTGTTTGAACACACTGCCACCAACCACCAAATCATTGAAGGCACAGAAGTCTGAGAAGAGTTCACCATTTTCGTTCGTTTCACTGAGGGCCTCGCGACCCATGATGAGTTCTCTTCCTGTATTGTCTCCTCCCCGCTTCGCATTCATGTCGCCCATCAGGATTCTGATATCGTCATTTGGGATGTTGTCCATTACTGTTTGTAGTTGACTGTAGAAATCCTCCTTCTTCTCTTGTTCTGAGACGTTTGTAGGCGCATAGCATTGAATGATTGTAACCTTCTTTCCTTTTGAGTTGAACCTGGCTGTCATTATCCTGGAGGAGATCAGGTCCCACTGCATGAGAGCTTTAGCCGCTGTTGGTGACATCATGATGGCTACTCCCTCGGTGTGCTCGTGATTGTCCTCTGGGTGACCAGAGTAGATTATTTTCTCTCCAGTTGATAGTTGGCTCCTTCCACATCCGTTCCATCTGCCCTCGCAGATTCCCAACACTTCTATTTTATATATCCTCGTTTCTGCGGCCACCTGAGCAGCCTTTCCAGTTTCGTACATTGTACGAATATTCCACGTCCCCATCCTTATTTTTGCTTTCATCGAAAGAAGGCACATCGGCTGAATGGCTTCCCGAAGGCTTTCACCAGCCCACGTCATTTCACTTCCCCGATTCCAGCGAAAGATAAGGTTATTGTTTGTATTTTTAGAATTTTTTATATATTTGTGCGTTGAAGTTTTGTAGTAGTTTGGTTAAGTTTTGGGAGTTGAGTTGCTAGCACCACGCCCCAACCCTCCCTCTTTATCCGGGCTTGGGACCGGCTAGAAAACTAGTGAGCTAGTAATCTAGGCGAGGTTGTGTAAACTCATTACTGTGTTATTATTAGTGCTCTACCGTTACATCGTTAAACCCGAGAATTTCGGTAAATAAATGCAAGACGAACTGTCTGAGGTCTATTGTGAATGCATCTGTCAACAGTTCAGATTATTTAAAATACTAAGTAGGCGCTGTTCTTGACCTCTATGAAATCATAAAACAAATCGGGACAAATCAGGAAGATATCTGATGTTTCTAATACAGTCCTACGGGAAGGAGGTCAATCGCGAACCCGAATAGCTCAGTTGTAACATGTCCCTGCAGACGGCACTGGGTGATGTGGGTTCGAATCTCAGAAGGGACATGAGTTCCATCATGGTAACTGCAGATACGCCTTGCTGACTGGTGAGTGCCAACTAGCACGGAGCCTAGGTCTAAACAAGGCTTCCTGCCAGTTGCCTCCAACCATCTTAAACTATCAAATCAGTGTGCACTATTATGGCGAGCTACCTAGAATGGTGACCACATTGCAAACTTGATTGACAGAATTCAGTCTACACCAAAGAAAGGACTAGACACATCACACTAGTCACTAGTATCTAATTAAAATATTTGATGTTTCTCATGAGCCAGTTCTTCTCTTATGACAACAACTCGCCTACCAGATAGTAGGATAGTGCAGAGAAAGAATTCGAGGTGTATCGTTATCCTAACTACTGCCCATCAATTGGTGATTCTTTAGGTATATTTTATTTTATGACTTTCTTTTAGTTAGTGATCACTTACTTCGCGAGATGGAATAAATCGCCGATGATTTGTGGACGTGCAGAATCTGGAATATTCTGAAAACAGAAAATATACCACATGAATTAACAGAAATTTTGAATGATCTTTGAATGTCATATTTGTGGAGATTCAAATTATTTCAAAGTTGATGTTTTTATTTCACGAGGTAACACACGTTAACTAGAAGATCACTGAAAACCAGGTAACTACGAAAGGGGTTACTCCATACTTGAACGCGATTCTTCAGGAATTCTCATCGATTACCTGATAACGGATAGAACACACAGCAAAGACGGAATCAACTCAGCTTGTTTCTATATTTTGAAATTAGACGAACGTCTTTTGGCAAACAAAATGTTTTTGTAAATATATGGCCTGTGCAATATGAACTACCATTTTCCAAGTATTTCTGATAAAGAGATTTCGGTATTCCGTGAAGTTTTAACTGTTTCATTTTGCAGCTGCACAGATTTACCCCATTCGGGAATTGTGCATCACAGTGTGTAGTTATCCTTTACAACAAACATTCTCAGAATTAAAATTAATTGGTCAACATTTTTAACATTTTACATTCGCGTGCATCATACCTCCTAATCATGAACACGTATTAAATCATGCGGGAATCTTTTCTCTAGTGTCACTCTTTACCCTTTTTATTTTGTACTAATTTATTAGTGGTGATTGAAATAGAGACTCTGGAAGAGGACTGGTTTCTGTGGGGAAGAAATCTTTGAATTATTATTGATACAGCTGAAAGGATTGATGAAATCAAATGAACATGGCGATCATGAAGTAAGGAGGCTGAGTTGGCGTCAATCCGTAGACATTTACATATTCTTCCTTCAGTTAAGAAGTATGCATTTCTTTACAAAGTAGTTATAAAATTACAAGATATCGTGTATATCCAACATGTTACCTCGTACATATCTCAGACGAACACCCACCTTCTCTCCATATAGTCCGTTTCCTGTCCTTTCCTTATTCTTAAGTGTCAACTTGACAGATATTTCCTCAAGTTATGTAATTCACAGAGATGACACTTACTGCATGTTGTCAGCCACTTGTTTTCACTTTAAAGAATATCAGTGAACATATTTGTATCTAATCAGAATGTACAAGTGATTATAAATGAACGGCTCAATAAAAGACGACTGTAACATGAACCTTTTCTGTAATGGTCACTGTTATTATGAAATAAGATTTTTAAACCTACTTACCTTGAAATTCTTGAGTAATTCATCTGTGAGTAATTCCCAGTTATTGTCAACGTAATGAACTCTATAATATCCAATCTGTCCAAGATTTATTATGTACCAATCATTTGGCATAACGTTGAGCTTCATCTTCAGAGTAGCTTCGAGATGAGGAAAATCAACATGACATTATGTACTCTCTATAAAATTTATAATACACAATTAATGACTAAGTGAATAGTATTCGTGCCTGTTGAGTAATAAATATTCCTACATAGCAGTTAGTGTACTGTATGCTGTAACTAAATGTTACACAGCTTGGAAGAGGCTGCATTCAAACAAATGATGAAGATGGGAATCGAATGAGTCACAATAATGTTCATACTGTCATTGTGGTTTACGAATATTTGAAATTGGTTTTAGGTCATTCCTGTCACATGGACAAAGTCTTCATCCTTCTAGGGATAGTCATTCGTAATTCTGTTTCACCAGGTATTCTGCTCTCCACTGTGTCTCATCTCCTTATCAACATAATATCTGACTGATTAGGGGATACATTTTATGCTGGAACTAGTTATCTAACAGCATAATTGAAGACAGCATAAACTTCGAAACTAAGGCTTTCATATTGCAATAATCAATATATGTTTTGTTTTAGTGGCTATATAAACGCAATCTAATAAAGCGTTTTATCTGCCAAGTAAGAGAAATGCACTGTGATGAATGTGTTAATTAAGAGCTCAATACTAATGAATAACTAATGAATAAAATCCAATACGCAGAGAAATTCATCGCCAACAATATGAATGTGAAGTCAATGCAAGTAAAAGTACAAACAGTCTTTACAAATTCATTTCCTCGATGGTAACCCTAGCGAAATAATAACACAACTTCTGAGTAATGCGTGGAAACGTTCATTCATTGCCGTTGTCTCTTTAAAACCAGATATATTTTACTTAATTTTGCCTCTTCTATGTATATCTATCAGTTTGACTGCTCCTGTGGAGCCACTGTAATAGGCGTGTTTATCATCGGATTTCTGAGTACCATCCGGTATGGTTAAGCAAAGGACAAATAAGGTCCATTCATAGCTCTGTTCTACCTCATCTTGTGGATACAGAACACAAAATTGATGTTAACGATGCTGTGGAAGTTATCTACTGTATTCCGACTAATCTTAATCTTGCCTCAAAAATTCGTTTGTCACACTGTGGTGAGAGCTGTCTGCCAGCCAAAATTGTACACAGCAATTTAAGTCTATGGTTACATCCCGAATCGGTGTCATGAGAAAAAACAATAACAAAGCTTAACCTTGAGGAACTTAATAACCAATCACAGCAAATTAAACGTGTGCAACTACCATTCGCAGATATATGGCGTAACTTTCTAAGAAATGGTCACAAGGAGATGACAGAATAACCTTGAGCAAGAAAAAAAACAATCAGATGTCGCTTCACCGCTAACAATAACGAATAATAATGTGCATAAAAATCTATAAATATCTGTTAATTTTCGCAATAAATGATCTGCTGTCTGGTTTTTGTCTTCTGTCGTCACAGCATATAACTGAATCCATCGGAATCCACACTAAGAAGCCCATTTTATGTATCCAAAATAAGTTGGTTCAAATGCTTCCCGTTACTTCATCATCATCCTTAACTTCTATGCATTTTCCTAACTTTATACGATATTCTATTTAGCATTACATTTTCAATGCTTGTTATAAATTACGCATTTTCCTTGAACTGGAATTCCACTGATCCTAACAAACCAATATTATTTAAAAAGCACCAATATTGTCAGCGATGATTATTCTAGAATATTATGTATGTATATATATGCAATTATCGAGACATGAGTTCCTTCAAGGTGACTGCAGATACGCCTTGATGACTGGTGAGTCCCAGGTAGCACGAAATTTAGGTCAAGCAAGGCTTCCTGTGGCCGATTGCCTCCAACCAACTAATATCAACAGTTCAGAGTGTTCCGTGATGGCCACATTGCAAATTTGGCTGATAGAATTCAGACTGCACCAAACATAGGACTGGACACATTAAACTAGTCACTAACTAGTGTAATGAAAAGGAAATTTATTCGATTGAACTTTCCTCTGTCTTCTAAATATCTGAATGGGAATTCTAGCTGTGGTAAAACTGTGTGAATTAATTATTCAGTCGGCGTATTTTTCAACTATATGGGTCACGAATGAAGGTATCGAAATCAGTATCAGAAAAACATGACAGGTATTCACTACTCTGAAATCAGTTTTAAGATTCACACACACAAACACTTAGTACAAAAAACAACATCTGGATTTTCAACACTGATGTCAAGTCACTGCTTTTATGTAGTCTGATGAATGGCCTGTCACCACAGGTATCTCCAATAGTTCACTGCAGACCTTCATCAACACCTGCCTTCATTCGACAATGAAGATCAGATGGATGGCTAGAAAGTATAAGAAGACAATGACCTCTTTGGGAGTGGCGAACAGAAGAAGAACCTACTGTCCAACAAATATGGAGAAGGAAATGGATGTGGATTGAATATACACTGAAGAAGGATTCATTGACGTCACATACCAGGTGCTGGTGTGGAATTCGAATACAAAGTGATGGGTAGGTGGGTAGGTGTGTAAGTTGATACTTGTGACCGTTACGTGTATTCATATAGCATACAGTAATACTTACCGTTGTTCATCCATATAATTTCATTCGCTGACCCATCCTTTGTCGTATAAGTTATGGGGATTTTCAAAGTGAAACTAAATAATTAAATTTCAAATAAATGGCACCAAATAATATTTTTGTCGTTCTACAAGGTAAGAATGTGAAAATGACTCTGAAACATACCATGCATGTTCTTGTATTTTGTAAAGAGTTAAGATTAGTCTAAAATTCAGCGAATTACAACTTCAGAGGTTTATAAATGAGTCATTTCCACAGGATTCTTTCATCTTCAAATCCGAAGACGTGAACGAAAATGAAGACGGCTAAGCGGATATTAGTCACAACAAAATCTCAGTTTATCTTTCAAATATGAGGCAATCAAGTCCAGATTTTTAAGAATTGGCAACTCATCTTTGAGTTCATTGGGTAAATTAGAATATATACGTAAAAGTCCTTGGTCAAGAAGGTGATACATGTGAATGGCAAACATGTATTTAGGAGGGAAAAGGCACATATTTGTCAAATAATGAATAACAGCTTTAGCATTTGTCTTCAGTATTTTTAACGGTAGGCTGTGTAGTTGTGAAACCATGAATGCTTTCATACTTACATATCAGTCTGTTTATTAAACATGACACACAGTGGAACAGCATTATCTGCCAGATGACAATCTGAACACTTTTCGTTGTTCATAAGCATATCAAGTGTAAATACACAACTTCAAAACTTCATTTCTTTAATTCGCATTCCTCTTCTCAATTTATCATAAGCGCACTAAACGTTTCTAGATGTTCTTGGTAAGTTCTCAGTCATTTCTTTCACTTGAGGTCTCGGCGAATCGATAAATAAAGCTCTAGTTTTCAATCTTGCCTCTACTAAATTATTTCATTTAATAGACTCCACAGGACCCTTTTGACGAAATAATTTGTCTCTAAGTGAGTTTTTGGGTTCTACTAGCACTTTTATTCCTACCATGGTAAGGGTGCAGAGCTCTCCTCATTGTATGTTGTAAATAAGGGTACAGAGAAGTTTACTATCGTGCTTAGTAGTCCCTATTTTCAAACCAAGCTCTCCATGTCTTCGTAAAATTTAATTCACACCTTTTAAAATGAAAACTTTGTACATTTTTAACTCAGTGCAGACTGAATAAACTACGTTTTCAGGTGCTTTTCAAAGGAGATTTATAAATATTGACAGTTTCGAAGTCATTTAAACTAGTGGCTGAAGGAGTATTCCATTCTCGAAAAGCCTATTATTAAAGAATTCTAAATGATATATCCCTTTATAAACAGGCTTTTGAGTGATGTTAATGAGTGAAAATGTATCTTTTAGATCTAACTATTCTCTTGGAAATCTTGTCATGTACAACAGACCTAAACTCCTGACTCATGAATTCCGGAAAGAGACTTCCTATATCCACCCTACTACTGACCAGAAATCGAGATAAAGTGTTACATAAATTCCAACAAGACACCATCATCTCTTAGAAGAGACAGAAGAAATTGATGAAACATACTCCACTCACTTGTGTCCTGATTGCAAAAGAGTATCATTCACAGGTTCATAGAAGTGAATCTGCTTGAAATGGAAGGTGTTCGAGTCACTTCGGTTAACAATCAAAATTGGATAATTCGCTTGTTTCGTCCAAGTATCCATGATCGATTTGATGTCGATGACTTTGTTTGCACTCTTGGCCGCCTAAAATCCCAAAACTAGATCCCATTATATTTGAACTGTGAAAGTAAATATAATCATAAGCTCCTGAAGCAGTATAATATCTAAGAAAATGTTTACTTTCAACGTCTCCACTGAAATTTCAACTTGTTTAATTTATGACTGAATTCCAAACAATTCCTACGGTTGCTTACCTACTTCTGATATTAAAGTAGTATAACACCAATAAATATAAATCATCTCCGGATAAGCATATACCAATCTACACCTCAATTCTTGATTTAATTGCGATAGGACAGAAAATGTTAATAACTCTAAATTCAGCGAAATGAAACACCGTTTGGAAGTGGTGTTAATCACTACAGTAACATCTCACACATTATCGGCATATTAATTCAAATATTCATGGATTATAATGCATGACTATGTTACCACAATCTAGTTTTACTCTGAACATGAAAGCGAGTATGATATCTAAACGTAATCCTCTAATTTCCATTCTGGTGACTTGCGACCGACTACCTTCTTGAAGAGACTTTCACTAGTAAAAAATATACCATGAAGGGTTCATTTCTCACATACAAATTTGTTCCACATTAGATCGATGTTGACTGGCGACGGAATTCAGGAGGAGCATTTTGAGCCATTCGGGACGCTTCATCTGAATGTAGGGGTAGGCTGGCATACAAGTGGTGAGTGACAACTGGAATTCAACGTAAGTCCTTCGCTTCGCTAGTAGTTCTGCACTGATTTAGGCATGATCGACTAAATCTCAAGTGTCTACATTATCAAAATTATTAATAAATAGTTCACTCCTGATCTAGATCATGACAGAGATCTCTCTCTAATGAAGTAAAAGTTCCATCCAGATATTCTTTTCAGTAGATTCTTATATATGTGGGTACAGTAATCCTACGTGAATTCCATTAAGTTGTATCGCAATATTTTCACTTTAATACGTACATGAAAAACATCTGTTCCAACCTGTTTTGCGTACTGCAAAGTTTAACTATGCCCACACAAAAGCTGTAAGAATCTAGTACTACGACGAACATGAATTATAATGAACGAATTCACTAAATTATGAAAACAATAGCCTTTATCATCCTTAGTAGCTTTTTATAAATGTGTCTATATGAGTTGCTTTCGGCTAAATACCTCGTCGTTTTATGACTGAAGAAAATCACTGTGACTTGTAACCGACCTGGAAGTCTGCTGTATCCTCAGAAATACAAAACAACTAAAAGTTCTCATTTATTAAAACTGAAAGAAGACGATTGGGAATATGATAAAAATACATTACTCATTAAAATATCAATACATTTACTGTAAGGTGTTAGTTATTTGAAAGCAGAGACTTACATGATCCAACGCCTTCCATAGATCTTCTTCGTCCGTATTTTTGTATTTGTTTTCTTGTAAGTAGATCTTGTGGAAAAACAGATAAGTGACATCGTGAATATTAGGCGATCTGGGTTGTATCATGTGAATGCAGTTTTCTTAATGCTGCTTTTGACAATTGAGTTCCACTTAGGCTTATATGAAGTAGATGCCATAAAAGGCATCTGTGAAAAGGTGCTACTCACAAACTGTCACTACTAACTATTTAATATCATCATATACTCATTCTACAGTTCTCATACTTCTAGAGTTCTATATAGGCCGCTTTCATACATCTCTCCCTGAAAAACCATTTTCTTTTCAACTCAACTCAATTTAACTGAATCACCTGTTATGCAATGTTTATCAGTTAAATATTTATGAATGATCGGCGTCAGAGAATTAATTAAAACAGGACAAGTGGTTGATTTAAATCTGTAAGTCTGCCTAACAGTTTTTACCTCCATGAATCAACCCCTTTAAGTTGGGAATAAACTTTAAGTTATCTGAAGTTGAATAATTGAAGGGAACTGTCCACTTTGTAAAGCGCACTAGCAGATATCTGATACTTTTGAAAAATATGATGCCTAGCTGCTTCGTTTACAAAATACCACTGAAGATAGAAAATCGTAGGTAAAGTTATGATTTTATATGAGAATGCAGGAAACCGAGTAGGACGACTAAAATTGATAAAGCTGACGAAGTTGTCCAGTGATGCTTTCGTTCATTACTATATTAGATTGAAAGAATATGCAGAATAAGCGACACGCTTTGACCAAGTATAAACCACCTCATTTACATCCAGTTCTCAATTAAATAAGACTAGTGTTCGTTGCTGCTACACTTCTCTTTTCTTTCTTTCTACATAACTTAATATCTTCAGATGACATAAATTTTGTCAAATATGCTGACGGTCTGACTGCATCTTTGCCTGTCAAATGTCAAAGTGACTGCTCTAAACTTAATGGCTTTCTATCAGAAATCAGCCAGTGGTCCAAGTAAATCGGTCTAACCTTAAATACCTCCAAATGCCAAACAGTCAATTTCACCTTCAGGCATAAATCTGACCTAAACAAACTGGTTGGCTCTCATGAGGAGTGCAACATTGATGGCACTGAAATAGAAACCAAATCGGAAATTAAATACCTAGGTGTCATTCTATTTGCTGATCTCTCCTGGTTGTCTCATATCTTGATGATTTCTAAGAAAATATTCTGTCTTACCTTCTACATCAAGAAGTTAAAACATTCTGGCATAACCCAACCCTTCATTATGGATAAGATTTTATTTTGATAAATCACACAGTGTTGTACAGTAATATTAACTGATGACGTTTTGAGCATAAACTATTGCTCATAATCATACCAACTTGATATGAAGGGCTATGTCTTATTACGTAGGGTGTTAAAGGTTGTCAACATGGTAAGCAACGTGCCACTTGACCAGCCTGTTAATATTCTGGTCGACAGGCACTTGGACTCATGTGAAAAATGGGCCAAATCCACTTTATCTAACTCACACCACTCTCTTCATTCACAACTCTCCCCTTGCATCTCATCAGGCAGAACCAGAAGCCTATATAGAAAATTATATGCTGGCACAAGCAAGTACAAAAACTCAACCATATCCTACTTGGCTCGTGTTCTGAGTGATAAAGAAAGCATTAGGTGTGATACCTATAACTTATTAAGAAGTCAGTAGAACAACTGGATCTCGTTTTCCCAACTTATATAATTTATAGGTACAACATTTTCTTTCTTTCTTTTCCTTTTCTCTCTCTTTTTTTTCTGTTATGTGCTGCTTTGTTTCATTCTTCCGCTTACGCCGGTAAATCTGATGGCACCTACTTTTCTAACACCCTCAAACACTGTTCAACTTCGGCTTTGCTAGTGACATGCCAATATGTTGTTGTCATAATGAACTGAGATTTCCTTAATCTATGTAGAATTTATATTTATTTATAATGTACTAACTGGATGCAATACTGTAGTATAAATGCTGAGAATTTCATTCTGTATCACAAGTACTATTTTGGAATAAAGCAAGTTATTATTATTATAAATGCTTTTGTAGAGGGAATCCAAGTACAACTCACCTTCATGCCATTTAAGAAGACATCATGTCCAAGAAATGACTCCATCATCCGGATAATCGAAGCAGCCTGTAAATTGTTAACGGAAGAAGACTATAATTCGTGAAATATTGTGTAAATAAGTAGTGTGTCTAATGCCTTGGTCGCCTATCTTAACATCACAGAACACACCAGTTGGAACTCTTACACTATGACCTAAACTCATTTCGTTGTTATGAAAAGAAATATTAAGTGATCAGACATCGAGTATTCAAACACGTTGATTTCATTTCATTTATATCGCAGTAAATGTGGCGTGAAGGCGCCTGAGAAGCCGTTTGTAATACGCCACTGTGATGAAATAAAGAATTCGACAAGCGTATAGTCAGTTCAAGTTTCCGTTAGTGAAACTAAAGTGTTCCGGAAATTTCCCATATTCACATTTTGTAAGCAATTCAAATACGATACTCTTCCAATTCAAGTAATAAAGCAAACTCAATCTTGTTAAGTTGATCAATTTATCCGATGTTGTCTCCTACCTTTCAGTCTTCTGGTCACCAGATATCAACTTAACAAACTCTTGTATTCCTGCCGACAACCCCACCATGAGGCAGAACTAAGTCGTATAGATTGCTACCATCAGCATGCATAAAATGCCACACACACACACACACTGCACTGAAACACTTCCAAGCGAATGAATTCTTCTGCACACATCTTAGATAAAGCGTTGTTCGGTTTCCATCGGTTCACCTACCCTTCATGCTTTCTCCTCATATATCAGGTGCATTCTTGTGGAAACTGTACCGCCTGAATATCAGTGCAGTCCATTTTTGAAGCTTCTTCGTACTACACTACTTATAATTGAGTAGTTCAAATTTTTCCCTTTGTTGAGAAGTCGATTAACAGCCACTCTGATATTCGTTCGATTGAGTCTATGACTCGAAAATAGTAATTTCTTATCGGATGAAAAAGCTCACCGAAGTATATCCAGCCTTAAGTCTATAAACTAGATCCAAGACAACTAAATCAGGACTAAATGTTTAAGATCACAGTGAGATTGAAGGTTATTAAAATTCCACCTCTGCGTTGAAGCTTTAAGCTTTTTTGTCACTTTATATGCAAATGGTCATTGTTTCTTTGACTTCACTGGTTGTATAGCTGAGCATGTAAACAACAATGGCGTTGTTAATATTGCCATCGATTTCTGTTCTGATAGAAAGAACTGATAGTAGAGGAGATCGTTGATCATTCACAACCATGTGATAATGGCTGTTTCTCCGATTACATGTTATCCTCTGAATAACCGACTTTCAACTGGTCACAAACTATCAAATACAAGCATTTACAATTTACTCAGACTGTACAATTACGCTTCACCTCTATCTATTTTATAAAAAGGCGCCACCATAAGTACTGTCAAACTAACCTTACTGTATGTTATCGGATCAAAAATGTCCTCGATCTCGCCTGGATATTCAGCTGAATTAATAACAGGATGAGATTCTGTAGAGGCATCTGAGATCATCGCTCCTTGCATATCATTAATAATGAATTGTCTGTCCTGTTTGTTATGAAAGAAATTGTAATAATTTAAGTTAGTGGAAATAACGGATGACAATTTCAACTTAACTGACAAAACAAATAGCTAAACTCAATTTCATGTTAATTTTCATTCCTCATTGATTGACTATGTCCGACAGCGAAGCTCGGTCTAGCTTGGCATGTTCGCCAGTAATACAGAAGCTTCGATGGTATCCGGCATGATGTGATTTTAGTTGACTAGAGGTGGAATCAAGGATGCACATTTTATCATGTTTGAGATTCTTCGGTCGGATGCACACCGCTACTCACTTGGAATGCAAGTAGGTCCGTCGGATGAGTCCAAAACAGGACGAAATGCCTATTCTGGATCCGTCAACTTTTGCATGGAAGAACTTAGTCGATATAAACGATTCATACCATCACCCATCGATTACTCTATCAAAAATTACTCCATACAGTCATCAAGTAAGTCTGTCTCTATTCACTGATACTTGAAACCAAGTTTATCACAAACGGACTGATTTTCCTACATTTCTGGATTGTTTATCGTGGTATAAAGTTAGTTTAGCCTCTCCGTTTAAGGCTAGCAGGATTTATAAATGGCGATGTGCTTAAATCCCTTGGCTATCCGAGTTGTCATTCAACACAATGTATCCTATTTTCTCTAATTTTTACCATTCTAACCACTCAGTTATACTTTTTAGCAGGACAATGCACTCACGCACAGTTTTGGATGGTTTTCAAAATACCGGTGCGCATTTCTCAGAGATGAAGGAAAGATTTATCACAGGGATTAGGGTTTGCTTCAAATCGAATAGCACTGTAGTACATGATACACTGCCGGTTGATATTTTACTCCAATGTCCTGGATGAAGAGAAAATATTATGCAAAAACCTGTACTGGGAATTCTGTACATTGTGTAGACATTTAATCCAGAATAAGGTTATCACTATTAATGCTATTATCATAAATTATATGAAAACTTCTCAGTAAGTGAATTGCAAAAATGCAAATGATATATATTAAAATGTAATTAGGATAAAGCAGTGACCTACCACTTTCCAATGCGGTTGAACAAAGTCTGTTCCAATGTATTCGAAAAAGTTTGCAAAACCTTCCTTTAACCAGAGGTTGTTCCACCATTTCATCGTCACTAAATTGCCAAACCACTGAAATTCAAACAGAAAGGGCACAGTGGTGCTGTTTATTTCTCAACTAAAAGAAGGGCATAGTCACTTTTCTGCAGTGTGTATATTACTAATTAATTTAAATGAGAATATTTGCATCTGTCAGAACTGAATTATCGAGTATTCAGTGAAATTGTCAGTGAAGAGTGATATTCAGAAATCCTGGAATTCGTATTTAAAGACATCATAAATTCTCACATTGGTAGTCAGATAATATTCAAAGCTGTAACTGCAATCGGTTACTTCGAAATTTGTCCAACTTAATAGTAACAACCACATTATGGCTATTTCTTGTTTTATTCACTATACCTGTGAAGAAGACAAGACTGAGGAGACTGTAAGGATTGTTTATTTGGTGAAACGTATGGTACATAGCTAAATTTGGAATACCATATTCTAAACCGGCCATTTGCACATCTTTACCACATCCTTGACGAATTGGTCGAATATCGTCTCATTCGATAGCTTCTTGGATTCTGCATCATATGGCAACATTCTTCTCATGGTTCTCTTCTTTGATTGCTCTTTCCAGTGTGCCAAACATGTTGTTACTTCGTTCCTGATATACTACTTATATCGGATTATAAGTAGCACTCACCACACTCGCCCCCTCATTATAAAGTCTCTCCTGTAACCGCCTTGATCGCCGCACAGACGTTTCTTCCTGCTGCTCTTCTGGTACCTCATCTTGACATTCTTCTCTCCATCTTTGTAGCAGACTGGCGTTTACTCTTTTCTCTTTATCTCCTCTCTTTATTGTGTACACTGGACCGCGTCTCGATGTGACCACATATGGTCCCTCCCACTTCGGCAGAAGCTTTCCTGATCCTGGTCCACTTCCGGTAGTATACTTTCGTTCTCTACATTTCACCTGGTCACCTACTTCAAACAGCTTCCAAGCTTTGATTTGTTTCTTGCCATAATTTTCGATGTCTTTCTTGCGCTTCTCTTGTATATTCTGAATAGCTTGTTTCCGCTCATTTGTCCATCTCTTACTGTTCCATTTTTGTTGTGTTGGCCAAGTCTTATGGTGCACCGGTAAGCGTGGTTTCCTCCCATACATCAGCTGGAAAGGCGACTTTTTTGTTGTCCCTTGTACTGTGGCACGATGTGCTAGTAATACCAACGGTAAGTCAGTTTCCCAGTTGCCTCTTTTCGCAGCTAGCCACTCCTTGAGTGTACGATTGTTCCTTTCAGTTAAGCCGTTTGTCTGCGGATGACACGGAGTCGCTCTAATCCTCTTAATACCCAGTGCCTCCAGACGAGTCTTGAACTCCTCACTTTCAAAACAGGGGCCTTGACCTGTCAATATCATTTTCGGTACACCATGATCCGCCACAATATGTCGAATGACCGCCTCGGTTACGGTCTTGGCACGCCGATCTGGAATCGCTACAGCATTTACCCACCGCGTGGCGTGTTCCGTCATCATTAAAATGTATTGATTTCCACTTGCTGTCTGAGGGAAAGGACCCATTATGTCCACGGACCATAAGTCACCAACCGCCGTTACGGGTATCGTTTGTAGCTGCGGTCGAATGCACCGATCACCCTTCATCAATTGACACTGTGGGCAAGCGAGTACGTAGTTTGCAATATCGCTTCTCATGTTTGGCCAGTATGCACTTTGGCTCACCAGGTCGTATGTTCGTGTAACTCCTGTATGGGCTAGTTGGTGGCATTCTTGAATGACCCCACGACGAAGGCTTTTTGGTATCACTGTAACCCAGCTACCATCACTGTCTTTCCAAGTTAGGACGCCGGCAGCGTTTAGTTTGAGTTTATGTTTTTGCTGCAGTAGCATCTTTAACTCTCTATTCTCTGCTGCCATTTCAATTTCTTTCCCTTCACGTATCATCTGAATGACTGTCTTAAGAGTAGGATCCGACTTCTGGTGGCGAACAAGTTGTAAGGGATCTTGCTCCAAAGCGTTTACTGGATACGCTACTTCTGGTAGTTCAGTCTCATTATCTGATCTCGACAAATAGTCAGCTATTACATTTTCTTTTCCTGGAATATGTCCAATCGTGAAGTCATACTCTTGTAGGCGTAACATCCATCGTGATAACTTCCCTCGTGGATCCCGTGCTGTTTTCAACCACTGAAGAGGTTTGTGGTCGGTCTCAATGTGGAATCGGCGGCCGATCAGATATGGTCTCCATTTTTCTAGTGCCCATACGATAGCTAAACACTCCTTTTCCACCGTAGAATACTTCTGTTCTGCAAGTGTCAACACACGGCTAGCGTATTCAACAACCCCATCTGTTTGTCTTAAAACAGCACCTATACCATAATCACTGGCGTCTGTCGAAACTGTGAACTGCTTCCCCGGCGCTGGCAGTTTCAACGTAATCTGTTGACCATCTAACAGCTCTTTAATTCGCTCAAACGTTTGCTGTGCCTCTTCCGTCCACATGAATTTTGCGTCACTCAGCAACGTATATAGCGGTTTTGCTATCTCATTGAAATTTTTGACAAATCGGCTGTAGAATGCCGCTCTTCCCAAAAACTGTCTCAGCTTTCGCTTTGAATTTGGCACTTCGCTGGTTTTGACCGTCAGGATTTTCTCCGGCAATGGCCGTATTTCGCCATTTCCCACTTTGTAACCCAGGAGGACCACCGTGTTTTTAGCTATTTGGGACTTGTTCTTATTAATACGCAGTCCAAAGTCATCAATTCTCTTTAAGATAGCTTCGATGTGGTCTATATGGTCGCTTTCTGTCTCACTATACACCACCAAGTCATCTCCATATACTTCTACGTTCTTCAGACCCTTCAGTAATAAGGTCATTAATCTTCTGAATGTAAATGGGGCACCTACCAATCCAAATGGCATTCGTTTAAACTGGTATTGTTTCTGCCCGACTGTGAAAGCTGTCTTACTTCGATCACTTTCTGCTATTGGGATCTGCCAGTAACCCGATCGTAGGTCGAACACGGTGAATAACTTGGCTTTATGAAGGCGATCAAGAGTTTCTGTTACGGTAGGCATTACACACTGTTTTACTTCGGTGAGGCTATTCAGCTGTCTGAAGTCGACACAAAATCTATATTTCCCGTTAGCTTTCTTCACCAAAAGGATTGGCGAACTGTACGGACTGTCGGCTTCTTCGATTATTCCGTCGTTTAACATTTCTCTGACTTGTCGGTTAACTTCTTCTTCAAGGTGAACGGGAACTCGTCGCGATGAAAAGACTGTCTTCCCCGTATCCTTCAGTGGGATGTTATGCTTTACCTTATCACAATAACCGTATGGGTCTCCATCACTAGTGAATAAACCAGCATATTTACTCATCAACGTGGTTAGACGTGGTGCCTCTTGCTGAACAATGGTTGTGGTTTCCACCTCAGCGACTTCACTATTCTCATGTATCGCGAATTGCCCGTGTTTTGTGACCACTTTTCTATTCTTCATATCGATTACAGCTCCTGCTTCTCTGAGAAAGTCTGCTCCCAAAATCGTTCGTCTTATATCAGAAGTTACAATAAACGGATATCGTATTTTTCCTGCTCCAATCTCTACAACGCAGTCTGAAACGCCAAGAATGTGCAACGGATGTCCTCCTACCGTCTGAACTGCTAATGTGCACGGCCTTATTTCCTTACACTGTTCTCTACCTATCAACGAAACTGCCGCCCCTGTGTCGATCAAACAAACTATTTCTTTTTCGTTCACTCGTAATCTCCCGTACACTGAACCTCTTTCGACTAACCCGACCACCTCTAAACGCGAGCGAGAAAAAGAAGGAAGACTGTATCGTTTAAGGTTTTTCTGCCTTCTTTTCGGGCAGTTTCTCTGCCAGTGACCGGTTCCTCCGCAAGCAAAGCACCTGTTGTTTGTTTTTTTCTGCATAGTTGCCACCTGTTGTTTCAACTCTTCAATCTGGTCTTCAATCTTCTTGGAATCTTGGCCCTCCGACATCACTGGAGCAACATGCGAGGTCATTATCTGCCTTGTCACCTTGGCCATTTCATAGACATCCATTGGCTGAGCTGCGTTAACTAGCTGCAACTGATGAGCGATATCTGTCGGGACGCATTCGAGGAACTGAGATGCAAGCAACTGCTCCCGTGAATCTTCGTCTAGGGTGGGTAACGCGCGTCGCAGGTGATTCGTCAGCGTTACTGCGAGAACCAACGGATCCCCATCCTGGCCAAGTCTCAGCGTCCGAAACTTCTGCAGCGCCTCTTGTCGGTCCGCAGGACTGCCGAACTCGCACACGAGCCTCTCGACGACCTTGTCCCACGCCGCCTCACCTTCCAGCTCCCGAGCGTTGTCGTACGCAGCCTTCGCGCGGCCCCTCAGCAGCGTTCCCAAGACCACCAGCTTCGCCTTCTGCTCCTGCACTCCAACCAGCTCCGCGACAGCTTCGAAGTCCCTGAGGAACGTCCGCACATCTCCATCATCGAACACCTGCGGCCACGGCACCTTCATCTCTGACAGAGGCAGCGACACCAAATGTGAAGAAGACAAGACTGAGGAGACTGTAAGGATTGTTTATTTGGTGAAACGTATGGTACATAGCTAAATTTGGAATACCATATTCTAAACCGGCCATTTGCACATCTTTACCACATCCTTGACGAATTGGTCGAATATCGTCTCATTCGATAGCTTCTTGGATTCTGCATCATATGGCAACATTCTTCTCATGGTTCTCTTCTTTGATTGCTCTTTCCAGTGTGCCAAACATGTTGTTACTTCGTTCCTGATATACTACTTATATCGGATTATAAGTAGCACTCACCACATACCTTCACTATTCCCGTAGGTTCAAGTTGGAATTTAGGGCTTCAACAGCACGTCTCTATTTAATCCTGTTCTTTATAGTTCCCCTTAGCTGTCCCCACGACTCTCCATAAGCTTTCATCTCCTGCATAGATGATCTAATCAGTGTCACCCTGCGACCCATGCCTAACTTGTCATTTCCCTTATCCGACTTCTTCTTCAGCGATGGCCTGTTAGGCACGTGATGTCACCCAGGCGTCTCTTCAGCATGCATCCAATGCGTCTGCATTCTCGTCGGTCTTCGAGATATTTGTTTGGCAATAGGTTCTCCATCGGTTGGTTCGCAAAATTCTTCGTTGCTTCCTGATCCTTTTCAGTCAGCTTTTTTTATCTTTAGTATCGGGTCTTCGAAGGCAGCAGTTGATGAAACTTTGCAGCCTGCTAGAAATGCTTTTGGTAACGCTCAAAGTCTCTGAAGTATATAGAAGAAATGACTTGAAACTGGTATTGAAAATCAAAATGTTTTTATGCTGATCTCAGTAGATTTCCAGACTGAATTCAGACTGTTCAATGTCTGTCTTAGTTTCAAAACACTGGAGGCTGATGACCCAGTAGGAATGAATAATATGTTTACATTAACTCGACCTTGTTAGTGAGATTCAGTGATTGATGAGAATGCCTTCTTAAGACTCAAATGAATCAGTAGTTTAGCCTTGTGTATAGCACTTCTATCCGCTAGCCTGGTACCGTTTATTACGTTATTATTATATTATTATTGTTTCCTTTAATTCCTGGAGGAAGATAAGGCTTCGGCTAGACGTCTCCATTGCGTTCGATTCTCTGCCAACATTTTCACCTGGCTCCACGTCTGCCCACATGCTTTCATCTCCTCTTCACATGACCCCCTCTACCTCACCCTCGCACTGACGGCCGACTGGCCGCTTCCCACTCGGATTTCACTCGAGCGGTGGCTTGGTATGTGATGTCACATGATGGTTTTCTCAGAGTATGGCCAATCCACCTCCATTTCTTCCTGAAAATTTGTGTCACAATCGGTTCCTGCTGGATTGGTTTGCTCCCAGAGATCCCTCTCTGTTGCTGATCTTTTCTGGCCATCTGATCTTGAGTACTGAGCGAAAATAGCTGTTGATGAAGGTCTGCATTTTGTTCGAAGTGCCTTCGTCACGTGACGCCAAGTCTCTGGTTTGTATAGTAGCACTGACTTCATATTGGAGTTGAAAATCCGGATCTTATTTTTGATGCTGAGTGCTGTTGACCTGCATACAGACTTGAGAGTGATGAAAGTTTCTCTTGCTTTCCCGATCCTTGCTTTGATATCCTCGTCAGTTCCACCTGTAGTTGAAACGATGCTTCCCAGGTAGTTAGGTAGGTAAATGAGGTTGCTTCTTTCAGATTCCTGCCACTTATGCTTGCTGATTGTTGTGTGTTGTTGTTGCTGTTGGTGTTGTCCAGGAATCTTCATCACCTTTGTTTTCTATGTGTTTACTTGGAGTCCTATCTTTGGTGCTTCTTCTACCAACTTGTTGGTTTTCACTTGCATATCTTCCAGTTTGTAGGAAATCAGACATATATCATCGGCGAAGTCCAGATCCTCCAAATTTTTTGTGTGGGTCCATTTTATGCCTGTTTTCTCGTTGCCTGCTGTCTATTGGATTATCCAGTCTACCCCAATCAGGACATGTTGTTATCTGCCTATTCCCTTTTTGAGTAAATCACTAAGAAAAGTTTACGCGGTTCATTTCACCCTGAGAAAACTAGCTTTATTCCATCTCTTACTCTATGACTCAGTTTGTTAAGCATCAAGCGACTTATATCTGGTTCATAATACCCTAAGTGCGTCGGTGGCACAGCGGTTAAGACTCTCGCCAACCATACATATGGTCCGGGGTTCAATTCCCTGCCGACATACACCTGATATCAATGGTTGGCCGGCAGAATTCGGGCTACCGGTATCACATGCTAAAAATTCCATAGTTGTACCAAAATACTGTGTGGAATCAAGCTATAATCAAAAATAAAAATGATTACTGCAGCGATATAGGTGGATGACATATTTTCCTTAGAAATGGAAAGATTATTTCAGTCCTTTCTGTTCAAATATAATCGTTTTAACTTCAGCAAAGCTTGAAACCAACATAACTAGTGTACACCACAGTAATATGTGTTAGATATATACACATTAGAATGCAGTTCAGCCAAAAACTAAAATTGTCATTACTTGATGAGATATTTCATGTGCAATAGTAACTGTCACCAGTAATTTCGATGCAGCTGCGCCAGTACTCGGATTCCATAACAGTCCATTTTCTCGACATATTATTAGACCCCAGTTTTCCATTGCGTCAGAGTAAAAGTTAGGAAGTGCAACCATATCTAAAGACAAATAAAAACAAAAAAACATTTTTGAGTAACTTGTTCAGTCCAAAATCTTCATTTCATTACCCTGAAGCTAATTTTAGAAAACCACGTGGCCTAATTGTTTTTCTATAGAAAATGTGTCAAATTCTTGCAAAGTCATTATAACCCATTTAAGAGAAGATTTAGTCCACTTTGTGTTTTTGTTAATATTTCTAAAAGAGGAGCCAATTCAAAAAAACAAAAGCTCGGTAATTAACGCGATCATAGCTGTTGCAAATCTCTTAGAGTCTGACTGAGTCATTGTACAACTACTTGAAACAATCCTAACATATTTGGAAGATAGAAACATCATTTTTCTGGAAGTTCCTCTGTAGCAGAATTCAGCTGTTTAGCGGAATTACTCGGATTTATACTCAACAATTAAAATAAATAGTGAAATAAAATATAAAATGATATGGATTATACCAATATAAGCTCTGTTTAACTAATATTAGGGATACATGCTGTCTGACTGAAGAAACTTTAACTTGAAACGTGAACTGTTGTTCTTTTCAAGAGTTGGTATGTAGACATCTGATTTGTTTCAAGTATGACGACGGATTGATATCATTTAGTGAACCATTGAAAACCAGTGAGTGATGGACAGCCGTTCCATCCTACTTCGAGACTCATCTGTAGTACACAGCTACTGGAGTTCGAACATGCCTTGTAACCGGTAGGTCTCGCGTTCGATCTTCAGTGAATGGGTACTACCGATGATTCCCAAACTAAGACGAAACAGCTCTTTAGTACTCCCGAACAGTTTCCAGTGATTCTCTAACTGATATCAATCCGCAGTCTAACTTGAAACAAATCAGCTCCCTACAAACTAACTCTTGAAAACTGACCTGATACTAGCCAGTGAATAACTACAGGATGAAGTTGACTCAAGTTGTAGTGGTGAGAAGTCGTCAGCAGTTGGGTGCGATCAGTTGACAGTGAAGACAAATACTCGCCATTTACATTGGCTGGTGGTTGCACAAACATCACGAACTGATAGGGGTTAGAATTCGTGGGCTACTGAGTCAGGTCTCAGTGAGTGAGTTGATCTGTGACCTACCTGGTCTTGTAGTCAGAAGGTCCCATCTCCGAACTCCAGTGAGTAGGTTCCATTGTACTTTTGACAAATAACCGACTTTATTAATTTGGATGTTTGTACACGAACTGGTCTTCAGTTGATAACTAACATGGCTGTCTATTCCCAATCGTCAGTTAAGGCTGCAGTGTTGTCGAAAAGTTCTCCAACATATTTTGTTTACGTATCACAGGTTCGCTTACATTTGATATTAGAAGTTAGTAAAGGTGATTTAAGACTGATGGGATAAGACAGGTTCATATATTATATTATTTATTATTCCTTTGCGTTCCAAGTGGAACAAGGATCTTCAACAACACATCTCCACTTTTTTCTGTTATCTGCCATCCTCTTCAGCTCGGTCCACGATTGACCAAACTCCCTCATCTCTTCCTCACACAATCTCCTGCGTGTCACCCTCGGACTCACTACCCATTCGTCGCTTCTCATTGGGATTCCACTAGAGGGCCTGCATTGCGCGTGATGTCCTTCGACGGCCTCCCCAATGTTTTTCCAATACATCTCCACTTTCTCCTACATATTTTTTTAGCGACCGACTCTCGCCTGTTGGTTTGTTTCCAGCCAGAGTTTCTTGTCGCTTATTCTTTCTGGCCATTTGATCTTCAGTATGGCGCCAGCTGGAGAAGATGGCAGCTGTTGGTGAAAGTTTGCAGCTTGTTGGAAATCCTTTTCGTGATATGCTGGCCAAGTTTCCGACCCATATAGAAGAACCTACTTCACATTGGTATTGGAAATGCGAATCCTGTTCCTTATCCTGAGTGTGGAAGATATCCAAACTGGTTCCAGGTTGATGAAGGCGTGTGTATCTTGCCTTTCAGATTCTGACTTTGGTATATTCATCCATTCTGGCTGCATGTTGAACCGATGAAACCCCTGTTAAATCCCTCACTTTGATGGTGATTGGTGCAGGTTGTTGTTATTGTTGCGGTTCGTTGGTTATCCTCATCACCTCCGTATTTCCTGTGTTGAACTGCAGTCCTGTTTTCGCTGCCAGCCTCTTCAGCAAGTTTGTTGGTTTTCGCTTGCAAGTCTTCTAGTTTGTGTGACATCAGACATATATCATCCACACGCGAAATCCAGATCTTCTAGAGTCTTCTTGTCGGTCGTCCAGCGTATTCCTGGTTCATCGCCCCCAACAGTCAGACACATAATCCGGTGCAAATTATAATCCATAATCCATTCAGGTTCCTAAGCCACACAAATTCATTTAAATGAATGTGTTCAAGTGCTAGCTTGCTGATACTCCTTTATGTTTGAATGGCTTTGCAATATGTATTATACCATCAGCCATCCATTATCAAAAAAATTATAACCCACATTTTTTAGTTATTGGCGATTATACGTAAGAAGTATGTGTAACCTACAGAACAATGTCACTGTAATTTAAACTATCTCAGATTAGTGACCACTTCGTGATACTTATTATTAGTCTAAATAAGCTTTGACTCAAACTGTGTAAGACCGAATGACGTACATGAATTAGTTTGCATTTTATAACCACTAGAGTGAATCTTTTTATCAACCCCGCAATAAGTCGTTGTAGTACCAACCAAAGCATATGATAGGGAAATTTCCCCCCAATTATTCCATGTATTTCACTGAATTTCGTCAGGCTGAAATTATCCCGCATGCTCAAGGTCATTGATGGAGTGAGACGCTCAAAGGTCATTTTCGTCCATGTTAGTCGGTTATCTTGGATTGCAGTTCCATAGCCGTTCGTTTACACATTGATTTTATGTTCTGTTGGCATTTATAGGTGATTCCCATGTACTGATAGCATTCTTTTGTAAAATAGTACTGTTCTTCACACGGAAATAGCCACATTTTGACGTAGTCTTCATTGAATGACACTATGTCGAAAGCTGCAGCTTCTACAAGAAATAAACTATTTGTGTAGATGACATTACCCCCGAACTACCCCATATTCTTCATTGTAGAGATGTTTTGACGCATTCAGCATGAAACACTAATCATTACAACCAATATGCTAAGTGTGTCGCAGTCAGATTAAATGACGCAGACACCAACATAACTAGCCAGGAAATGAGAATTCCTATCAATCCAGAAAACATACAACAAAATTTTATTAAAAACTATTGACAAAACAAATTTGCCGAGCGAAATTTCAGCCAACATGCCGGATAAGTCCAGCCATTTCGTCATTGTGTCACTATTATCATTCCTTACAATTTGTTGAAGGAGACATCAGTTGTTGCAGTGTTAGAAAACTCGCCAACTACGCCGAAAGTGGTATGAGTTTGAACTCTAGTCAACGCACTACTTAACCTCCCAGAGCCAGTAGGAATCCCGATAAGGAGCGAAGGTTGGGCTGGAGACCGTATCTGTTAAAGATCAACAACACTGTGACTGAAACTCCAGAGCTCGAGCTCGAAGTTCTATGCTCCATTGGTAATCCAAAGAGATAAAATAATATGATAGATAAATAAGATGCAGTATCTGACAGTGGGGGTGGAAAATGTGATATTGAGCCAATTCATGAATAATCCCCTCCATCCAGGGATCAATGAAAAGAACAAAACAAGTAATTCACTGAAGAGGCTTAATTCGACTAATTCATTTTATATGCCTGGCTGTATGTAAATGTGACTGTACAGCTACAAAAGGAGAATTCGTTAAACTGAACTCCTTCGTTGAACTACCTGTTTTTTGTTTTCATATTTAGCTGACACAGTCTCTGAAAGTCTGCATTACAAGTTCATCATTTCTATTCAAACTGAAGAATAATACCCGACAGAAGGAAAGGATGTTGTACTACGTGGAATAGAGCTTCATTTCAACACTTCCATACACATAGACACATCTACATTATTTGAACAGTTACTTAGTAAATTGTATGTAAGCGTAATGATTTAATACATAGTATGGAAAATACTTACCCATTTTTGGAAGTGAGTAAGGCACTCCAAAGTAATTTTCAAAGTGTGTAAGAAGCCTTCTACCGATATCCAAAGCATACCTGGCTGATTCAATTTTCTCTGGTCTTGTCCAGACAGTAAACTGATTAAATAATGCAAAAGATAATGAACAGTGCTTTGTATATCAGCCAACTTGAGAATTATTAAAAAAACACATTCAGAAATAAAAAGATGTTCATGAAGAGAAACTGTCAAGTCCAGAATCATTCTAGACAGCTTGATGAGAATATACACATTTCAAACCGACATTCTACTAAATGTTCTTGAGTGAGATCGCATTATTCTGAATTGAATCACAATTTATATTGCCAACTGTTGGTTCAGTGAATATCACCACTTGTGAGGAAATCTCTATACTTTGAGGCAGTCGATGAAAGGTGGAACTGTTACTTTGTAACATCACGTCTACTAAAATCTACAAAGACTGAAATAGTCTCATCAGAATTAAATTCTAAGGAAATAAAGTAATGAAACAGTTGAGTATTATAGGACAATGAAATGACCTCTCTATAAAGTAACTAAGATGTTTACTGATAGGTAGAAACCAGATATATGGATTTTTGATAAATACATACGATGAGTCAATTTATCCTGACACAGCTAATTTCCCTGACTGGGTACTGAAGATTAAGTGTCGAGAAAGAATTCGAAAGAATGAACCCTAGGAATGACCCGACCAAGAATCTATCACCCAACAAATAATGCAAAATAAGGCAGATGGATCGAACGCATTCTGAGAAAACCCATGAGTGACATCACACGCCAAATAGGCCATCTCTCAAGTGGAAGGTGAATGGGAAACAATTAGTTAGGCATGAGTCTGAGGGTGACATTGTCTTAGGTGCATAAGATATTGTAATCATTTGAAATTTGCTTGATACTTCCACTAATATCTGTTGTTCTTGAAAGGAAAGTAATGAAGAAGATACTGATTCCTTAGTGTTTAACAACACAGTATTTAGCCTAACGTTACTTTTGTATGTCTTCAGAGATTTGTACACAAAGCATCTTTAGTCGATGAAATATCCTTCAGTTTTCGAAAGTTTTAAACACCTCTCACTTTACTGTAATATTGTCATTTACGTTGACATCCAGTAATATTTTTATGTGACTTGTTGTTTTAATTTTCTGTAATAATTGAATACGATAAAAACATAGGACGACATTTATCCGCCCGTATGACATAGGAATTAAAAGTATGCACTATATACCTGCCCTTACCGGACACTCGCCATCTTGAATTATCCCCTGGGCATTTGTATGATGAGATTAGAGAGAGATAAACTAACGTCAAACAGAACCGATTGTTGAAAAAGTGAAGAGCAGCACAGTAGAGAAAATGCCTATCTTTCTGCAGCTTGCATTCAGAGGTGATGATACGACTAGTAGAATAAGATGCAGACTGAATGCTGCCCTGAAAAGAACATATCCAGCCGCCAAGCTTGTATGTGTTTATCAAACAACTAGTTGTTTGAGACAATTAAAAGTGAACAAATAACCACCTCATGTTACCTCCAACTGTGTCTATCAATTTACATGTTTGTGCCAAAGTTCATACATTGGAAGGACAGAGAGAAGAGTTATTGTCCACATTTCTGAACACATACCAAGAACCTGAAACTGAAAGGTCCGCAAGCATTAAACAGTGCGATTGTGCATCATCCATTGGATACTGGTCATATTGTAGACAACCGGAAGTCGTTCAAAATAATCAACAAGCAAAAGAAACCTAACTTGCAACGCTTTGCTGAAGCAATTGCTATCAAACGACTTAAACCGAATCTATGTACGCAGAAAGAGACAGTGGTGAATCTTGCACTGCCCTGGTGACAACAGAATATACAACTTCTATGAGTCACCCCTTTTTCTTGTTTAGAAAACTCTACTCTCTCATGTAAACATGACTCACCCTATCTTGTTCTTTTCTTTTTTTTCTATTGCCTATTAGATAAAACATTTTCTTTAGTTACGTGATATACTTTTTTGTTATGTTCTTTCTAGCTAAACCTTGCTTCTATACACACACATATATACGCAACTCTGCTTTTTGTTTCCAAGCCTAATTGTCTAATTATTCTATAAATAGTCAGTGTTTGTAACTCTTAATTAGTTAAATCATTCCGGACTAATGTTTCTTTTGCTTCCTACCAATTACTCCTTGTGATCGTGAAAAAGTACGTTCAAATCAAATCCTCGAAATAATAAAAGATGAGCTCATATTATCCTGGTACCATTTGTTGTTCTTGCTTTGTTCAAGTTTATTAATGAGAAGAATTGCATGAAGTTTTTAAAGAACCGATTGTAACTTTCACATCCACAGATATTCCTACTTCCCGCACCAGGATAATAAGTGAACGCTTACTGATATAAGCAGGAAATACATTGAAAAAGCCTACCCAATTCTATACTACTCACATTTCTTCCTTTTGAATCCACAGCGTGAAGTCCATGAAATTGGGAAATCACAAATGCCAACAGATATGAAGACATCTTTACACTGGGTTGAAACTGATCTTGACGCCAGTCAGCGTTAAGCGCCACCGTGTTGTTAACAGGCATATTTGAAAGTGTATGAAAATCCTTGTGGCGTATGACGGTGACCTGTAAAAGGAACAATCAACACTTGTTTGTAGAAGTTGAAGTACGTAACCATATAGCAAAAGTGCTTTTGACATGGGAATATGTAACATACAAATGTATGTCATTCAAAATAACTACATTCAAACAAAAATTTACATCATGCGTTCTTTTAAGATGTAGAGATATCGCGAGAAGACGCACTTCAATGCCTCTGGGGAGCGGAATGGTTTCTGCAGCCCTTGACTGTGTTTTTCCACTCATGCACATTCATCAAGCACTTAAAACATCCAAATATAATGACCAATAATTGTTTTCATATTGGAAGACATTGAATGACACTAGTGCATGAATATAATTCTTATCTGATGGATCCTAGTTACCCGAAATAATGAAACAGCGAACACCCTAGCAACTGGTTCTATTGAGGGAGTTACCTGGGATTCTAGTGGGAATTCTTGACCAGTAGGATACAGCAGGTCAGGCGTGAGAATAAATAATATCCCAAAACATTGACTGGTGGTCACACTATGTCGTGAATTGTCAGAAGTTAGGATTCATATGGTGGTCATTGGATCGGGTTCCAGTGGCTTAATGTTCTACGAGCAAGCTAGCCTTAAAACCAGGAGGTCCTGATTTTGAACCCCAGTGGGTGAGGACTGATGAAGAATCCTAAACTAGAACTAAACAGCTGTCCAGTACTCTCAGGTTTTCTAATGGTTCTCTAACCGATGTCAGCTCATGACGAAATCTTTTAAACAATCAGTCACATCCCCATAAACCAATACTTGTAACTTTTAACTATCAATTACTTTGACGCCATGTTAATCTATCACGAATTATATGCATAACTTTGAGTGTGTCCCTGTCCACAGATCAACGCTCACTCGCTGACACCTGTTTGTACTGAACTTTCATATAGGACAGTCAATATCCTCGCTTCGTATGGCAATAAATGAAAGAACCAATGATTCGTCGATCAATAAATATACCATTCTTTGATTTGCTCATTAACCACAGCATATTTTGTAACGGTCTGAAATGAATCAAATTGGCTTCCGTTGTGAAATTATGATCCATTGGCTACACACCTATTCTAGATCCTTATACACATAAATAACTCATAAATGCCTTCACATATACACATATGAGGCAACATTGCATTTCTCTTTACTCTCAATGAACCACCACTCAGTTAAACAGAATATTCAGAATGCACAGGAACCGCAATAGTATACCTACCTGAAATACGGCCTTGAATCCAGGTTCATCCCAACAAGGAAATACGCGTCTTGCATAAGTTGACTCAAATTGTGTGCTTGCTAAGTACCTGAAATAAATACGATGCAGCTGGAGTTAAGTGAAAGTGTGCGTGAATGATTCAATGTTAATTATTCTACTTAATTTTGTATAAGAGAGGAGCAATAAAGTGAGCACAATTCATGATTATTGCAAAATACCTCTGCATTCACGTCATTATGTTCACATAAAGATGTCAAGGCTTAAGCTTGCATCTTCTTTAATATGAAAGGTAGTGCACAGCCAGTTGCGAAATGACAGAAGGAGGGAGAGACATCACAATAAACAAATAGTAATAAAATTGAAGGAATAAGGTTGTTTCGAAAATTCCAGTGAAATCTCAGTAACAATCTCAGTCACATTCTGTTGAATCAAGATGTGTTCAAAATACAAACAAGCTGAACATGTTGAATTTGAAGTAGGCTTTCAAAATGTTTCCTCGCAAACTTGACAAAGATACTGCAGTTGCGCAACTCAGACCGCATGAAGAGGGATCACATATGGCTTACTTGTGGCATAAATTACCAATCAGTTATGAATCAGTACTGCACTCTAGTAAAATTTTAGCAGTGATAAGAACAGGCTATTTGCAATAAATGCTGTAGACATATGATATTAGAAGACAAGACACTTGACAAACGAATGTTCAATTAAGATTTGGTATTGCCAGATAGCGAGATTATATGCACTTCATCTTCAAATCACAATTGGCACAGATCTTCCGTGTTCTGCTACTTCTGCATTTCCTGCATATTGTGTTTCTTTGAGTTCCTTTCACGTCTCTCATGTTTCTCACAACACTGTAGCATTTGCTTTCTTTGATGTTAAATGTATCTCCCTGCTATTTGATGTGTTTTGTGCTGTCGAACCTCTCTTCATATACTACTGATAAACTTTTTCAGCAGCACACGCCACAGATATACGATCACCAAAATATCTTCAAGTCTATACAGACTGGATAATCTGCTTTATGTGGAAATCTGTTATTAGACTGAACTTCACTTATCTGTGGCATGGGCGTATCATTCCATGAAACTCAGTTAAGTTCTAAATTTGAGTATGATTTATTGAGACAGAAAACCAAGATAATCATTTTCACAATTCTTCTGCTTTCTTTAGATAAATGAGCAAGTCTGCAGTGCCCAGTTTTTCAAACGATTTAGTAAAACAGGAGTTCCATTGACCCATCATGAATAGGTCATTCACTGTCTGAAAAATTTGTCTTTTTATAACAACAATGAAAGGAATGGAAACTACCCTCCACATATCAGCCTTCACAAATCCAATTGGTTGAATATGAAGAAATAGACCAATTTCAACAAACTTTACGTCACCTACTAATTCAAGAAATTATTGACAACCATAGGGTGTTTGATGATAGATGTTTCAACCTCATTTACGGATTTTCATTACCCTGCATGACTACTCACTGTGTGATCTAGTGTGAGTATCAAGCCTTGCAGCATCACCATAAAACCGTTATTTTCATTTCCTCTAGTTCACTTATTTCAAATATTGCCATTTTGCAGAGAAAATTTCCTACTTAAGATCTTATTGCACACTAAATTGTCCACCAAATCGATTACTGCTTTTTGGTGTAGTTGTGTTCTATAACGTGAGTACTGCACAGCTGTTTCTTCCTAGTTTGGGACTCTTCATCAGTATGCACCCATCTGGGTCCGAACCCAGTAACTTCAGGTTGAAAAATGAGCTAGTAGACAATTCAGCCAAAAGGACCAGCTTAGAGGATACAACTACGCCACAAATTTTCTCCAGTATACCTGGATTACTGCTTGACATGAGAAATTCGAGGAGTAAATTTTGAGACTAGTCAGTGACGTTCTTAAAATTAGTTTTCATTTTGAAGGTTGGCAAACCTGAGAAGACATTGACAGTAATAACACTAAATGATAGTTACACTTCATTAGAATTTTTGAAAAATAATTGGACTGATACATTCCACTGAGATGAAGTGGACAGTGATGTGAGTGAAAAAGGATGTTAAAATTTTGGACTCTTTTTTGAAATGAATAACATTTTCGAACTGATGAAAGGATCAATGAAATATGAAATAACTGATGGCCACTCAATAGACTCAAATTCAGTTACTCTGTATTGAAAATCTTCAGAGATTTTACTGAACATCACAAAGTTTGCGATTAAAATATGATGCTGTTTCAAGCTGACGTTTAAAGTAACATGAACGAAACTGATTGGAAAACGAGTAGGAATGCTGTGACAAACCCTGTGACCACTAAGCAGTTTCTGAAGAAGCCAACACTTGTGTTCGAGGCGGCCGCCTCATTAAATCTCTGGGCTAGGAGAAATTCCATCCATCGCGATGGTTAATTTCTTCAGCATTTCTTATTGTATTAGTCATATAGTTACGTCAGATGGTCGCCATATCAACTAATAGACATATTTAATTGGCTTTCAACAAAATACTGTGCATTTCTTGAGGGAAGTGAAGGCAAAATATACAGAATTGTCTCAGTCTTCATATGCAACAACACTACGTCACATGATATACTTTAGATTACTACCTTAAGAGTAAATCCTGTATGGAGACGAAATATTGTGGAACTAAATACGTTGGAAATTTCTGCACTGTGTTCCCATATTGTATGAAACAAGGGTTTATTATGATAATTAAGCCATAAAGAGTTAAGAGGTTTTAGCCACACCTTCTTTGCTCATATGTCAAAGACAAAGTAGAATCTGTCAGTGCACTACAGACACTCTCCCACTCTGTACACTATGAATCGCGCTTAATAAAGGAATAGGATCCGAGTGCTCTAGTGGCGTATAACTTCACATAATTCTATGAATGATAAGGTTTGCTTTGAAATTCATCCAAAGGGGAACATTACTATGGGCTGAATTCAGTTAAAAAATTCAACAGAGGACTGAAATCAAAGTAATTATGATGACTATTAAGTGTCTGGAATAAAAATACTCACTTATAAGTTCCATTTTCTGCATACCGACTCAGATAAAATCCTACCGGTTCGTAGGTTAGTGTAGAATTAAATTGACCAAATATCAGTTTATAACTTGCATTGGGTTGTAGGGCGTCTTTTAACTGTATGTGGTACCATTCGGCATCCTCATCGTAGGATATCGTCTCGATTGGAATTTCCGACTTCCTTACATCTTCTTTATCATTCGAGAATATCTATACACATTGGGAGAAGATGGGAGTTCGTGAAAATGAGTAACACTGAATTATTCAAAGGAAAAAGACTACTGTAAGTGTTCGCCCACATTTGAATTACTTGATGTGAATGTTCGTCATTTAACATTCAGCCTAATTTGAGTTTAACGAGTACAAACTCAACAAAAACTTTTGTTCATTATTAAAGGAATGAAAATCTGAGAATGAATGAAGTAGACTAAAATTGGAATTTCAACTGAGTACATTTCATTGATAATTCTAAAGCACAGAACTCTATGTATTCATCTTTGAATATTATTTGCAAAAGTGTTGAATAATTGGGGAACAGTAAACTGCACGAGGTTAATCTACAGAGAAAGGCCGGTGTTTGACTTAAAGGTTCAATCAAGCACGAAGCCACTGATCGAAGCTTTAGTCTTGTTGGCACACTGAGAAATATTGAAAATTCTGATCAGTGTTACATCCAGTTCAGATGGCTTACCTCTGAAGTACTTCACGACACTGTCAAAAGATTAACGTTCAAATAAGTTCTGTTTCAAATTCTGCAAGTGGGATTTATCCAAGGTGAATACAGTGGACGGAAGTTTATGGAAACTCCTGAAAATATACCAGTCCTTAATTCAACCTGCAAAGAGCTGAAACTTCAAGGTTCCTTTCTGCCTCCACTCAACTGACTTGTCGTAGAATGATAAGTTTAATTTTTCTACGATATAAACACAGTGTAAGGTGGATTATTTCGTCACTGGATTATTACTGCACTAACAGCTTCTCATAGAAAGAAAAATGTTAGACGGCCTTCACTTATGAGTAGTAAAATGAGTTTACAGTTTAATCTCAGAATGTGTGTAATTCCAGTAATTTAAGTGATCTCATGGTAATCTAATCAAACAAAAGTAATCCATAATTCATTGTATGGTTAAAAGAAGCTTTCAGGAATAAGTCATTAGGCTGTAGTGTATGAGCCCTCCAAAACGCATTTACTAAGAATACTCAGATTTCTGGTATTAGTAAGTGACGTATTATTGTCAACTGACGACTATTGAGTCCAACATGGACGACAAATTCATACATAACGAATGTTACTCTCATAGACCCATTGAGAAACATCAACAGTAAACAACGAATCATCTTACAGTCCTACAAATCAAGGAAAACAAAAATAAACTTCCATCGATATCGAATCACTCACTCTGATTTGATCCATACTGACATTAAGATTTGGATAAGCATGAATAAAGAGATCTGCAGTTGCTGCTAAACACTGAATCTTTATAGTCACAGATCCATTGAAATAGAAGTCTTGAGTATCAGCATTTCCATGAATGTGAACTTGAAGCCGTAGATCATAGAAATGAGGGAATACAGTTTGTGGTAACCGTATATTCTTTGATGATTTGTTAACTGCTTCGTTTGTAGTCACCCCAGTGATGTTATTCGGTGAGGTTTCCGTCCCCTTCAAAAATAAATCTGGATCATATCTGTGTTCAATCTCTGAAAAATATGACAACAATTCAATCTGAGTAAATATTTCGATTGTGCTAGAAATCAGTCACAGTATTGGTATCCTTCTAAGTAATCCCCATGTATGGTAAGTTTCCGAGAAAAAATCTCAAATAAATCTGAATACACGGAGTAGTCTAATCTGTGTGGGGAAATTGTCTATGAAAATAGGAAATAAACTAGCCTAAAATTCCAAATAACACATTCGAAGGATTTGGGTTGAATGGAGTAGAAACGTTGTAGGTGTACGTATATGCCGAGGTTTACTGGATGTCAAATTGAAGACAGAAGGATGACCTCATGGTAAATCGATAAAATACTTGTTTCATCTTTGATTGGACACTAGTAACTAGTGTGGTGTGTCTAATCCTTTGTTTCATGCAGTCCTACAGGAAGGAGATCAGTCGCTAGTTAGAAGAGCTCAGTGGTAACGTCTCTGTCTGCAGATGTCACTGGGTGACGCGGGTTTGAATCTCATAAGAGACATGAGTTCCCTCAAGGTGATTATAGATACGCCTTGTTGACTGATGAGTGCCGAAAAGCATGAAACGTAGGTCATGCAAGGCTTCCTGCCAATCGCCTCCAACCATCTAACTTCTTTCACCTACACACCTTTATCCTCACCTTGGAAAGTCACTTATTACGAAGAACTGATGAATACGGATAGGAAACATCTGCCGATAACGAATTTAAAGGCTTGACATCTAAATCCAAAAATCGACCTGTAAGACTGGCTTTAAAAGAAATGCATGGATTGACTAGGTTTGTCTTTGGTGAACTAAGTAAGCATAGATGGATTACTCGATCAAAGTTTCTGTGGGACAACTATATTAGATTCTTGTATTAACTGATAAAAGATATTGATATGACCATCTCCTTTCATAAGTAAAGCCTTGTTTAATGGCTGGCAACTTGGAATGCAAACTAACCTCACTAGGAACCTCCTGACTGAAAGGGAGAGGGCAGTTTATTAATCCAGTTTACCAGTTCATCGTCAAATGAAAGAAACAAGAAAGACATGCAACTGTGCTGTTAGTGAGCAGGAAAGAGTTCAGTGACATTAAATAACAAATTAAACACAGAAATACTCAAAATAATCGATTTTTTCCAATTAGACATTACAGACATGAATGAATGAATGAATGCTAAATCATATCATCATATATGTGCAAAAATGAATAACACTTTACTAACCCATTGGTGTATTATAGCCATAATAACGAAGGCTGTCAATACCAGTCGATGTCACTTGATTGTTACACAGAAGGACGAAAACCACGTAGACTGTGGTTAACAACACTTTCAGAGACATTCTTTGAAAATCTGAAAATACCGATCCTTCAGAAAAGCTACTCAAATGACATCGAAAACAATTCAAACAGTCAGGCTTTTATAATCTTCTCAAATAAGGAAGTAGCATTATTGCGTAATAGTTCGTCTCATGTTTGATATTGATGATCAATAGTTCAAATAAGTGAAATGCATTCAAAGATATTTTCGCCTTGTATCATTTAGGTCATTAGTGCATGAATAAATTGGAGCACATTGTAACTGTGTGTGTCATTATCAACACAATTTAATCCATCATGTGTCACAATTTATAATTTCTATATTACGGTCAAGACTCGTGAACAACTTTCACAACCCTTTTATAATTACAATTAATTCAATTTGTTTGTCTGTTTATATTCACTTATAAGTTAAGAGACATAATTACACTTCGATGTGGTTGTGTCCACATAGAGAACACAAACTACCTCCTCCATTATGCATAATTACAAATGAAAACAAAGTTTCAGGTGTGGTTTTCATGGCTAGAAATGTATCTTTGAGATGATCTTTGTGTCTATCTGTTATGATTTGTTGACTTTATTTTCTTCCAAGCTGTCAAGCCTATTTTAACACAGGAAGCCAGAGTTCTGTGTTTACAAAAGAAGCATGTTTATTCATCTCATTCCATCCATCTATCATGGACTTTGTTTCTCGGAATTTTCTTCCAGATTTCTCCCACTGCAACATTTCTTTATCGAACACTTTGTCGGTGGAACAGGTCATCTTACATATTACCCAACAATGTTACTAATTTTCTGTTTTTTCAGTTTCTATACCCGTTGTGATTAAGCATCATCAGTCATCTCTCAGTAGAACTGCAGATATTCATATCAGACTGAGTTCTCGTCTGTCACTTTGTTCAATCAAGTGATAACTACAAGTACGCTGAATTCTAGGCCTGTTTAAACCAATGGCCTACCGAAATTTCTATTTGGTGAAACTGCATTCACTTCTCTTCTCTTCGTAATCTTTTAATCTTCAAATTATGTATTTGGATTACAACATGAACTCGTGAAAATGCATTGTTGACTTTCAACCTACTTTGTGTGTACTTTGAGAAGAAAATGAAGGAAAAGATTCGTCGAGGATTGAATGTTGTTACAGATAGAATGACGTCAAGCCGTATGGCATACCGTCGGTAAATACTATTCTATACAGAGTGTAAATATTGTGGAAGAAATTAGTTTGAGAATTCTGTATTATGGGCAAACATGATTTCAAGAGTAAATCTGATGTTATTGTGACTCCATACGCTAGTGACATCAATCAGGATTACTTCCTAGGCAGATCTAGTTGATTCAGGCACCGGAAGGCTGTGTCGCTAATTTAAGACTGAGCTCATCAGCAGTGTACCCTGTTTAACTCAGCTGAGGGTGCTGTTGGTGAAAGCCTAAAATAGCTTGTTGCCAACACTTTTTCGGTCACGCCAAGTCTCTGAAACACATAGAAGAAAGAACCTAACATTAGTGTTGAAAATCTGAATTTATGCTGACTGCAGCAGATTTCCAAACTGACTTCAGATCCTGGCTGGGTTTGACACCCTCATTCGATACGTTTATTTGAATAATCACACAGTGATGCAGTATTACCAACTGGATGATGTCTTGAGCATAAATTATTGCTCATAATCATATCGGTTGAATGACACTTTTTCACATTTTGTCTTATATATATTTTCTCTCTTTCTATCACACTCTCTCTCTGACACCCTCATTCACGCCGCCTGTATTTTAATCGTTGCTATCCAGATAAGTGGAGTGACTGACCTCCTACAAATCCCTCCTGCTGATAGTGACTGGTGCTTGTTATCGTTCTTCGGTTGTTTTCATTAGACTTGTCTTCTCTATATTCATTCGAAGTCCTGTCTTCGACGCCAGCCCCTCCTGACAACTTTTTGTTTCTCGCCTGTAGATCTTTAAGTTTATGTGATATCAGACATAATCGTCCGTTCAGATCCTCTAGATTCTTCTTAACTGTCAAATGAATTTCTGTCTTCTTGCTCCCCATGCACGGTGTGTGCCAAATTACCCAGTCCACCTCAGTCAGGAATATAATCAGCCATAGCATACAACCTTATCTTACTTACTCTTATCTCCAATTCAAAGGCTTCGCTGTGTTCTCCCTTGTAGATCACCTGACATTTCGCACTGTCATATAGCCGTTAAATCAGGTAGGAGAATTCCACATTATTGAAGCAGTTTCCAAATCACGCTGTATGGCCAACGCTGTATGCCAGACTTCTTGGACCAAATAATATTTAGCTATTTGTTGATGATAGTACCGAATTTAACAAGAAAATCAGATCTTCGGGAAATTTCATCCATGTCGTCAGAGGAAAATCACAGTTTATGTTATATGTAGATGTGACACCTCACTTCTTCTCACAAAAAACAACTCTCGTATTTGTGAAGCCATGTTTCACATGACGATAAATGGTACTAGAGTGAGAAGCTTAGAAAACAATACAGCTTGATAGAAAGTATTAGTGCAGAAAATAGATGTCTATTTCTAAATCAAGAGGGAATCACCTATATTCCTTCGAAAAGTATTTGAAATTATCTTCAATAAGTTGATGCTTATTTCTCAATTAAATTTCACTTAAATTCTGTACACCCTTTGGGTGATATTCTCTACTAACCACAATAGTGAAAGTAAATGAGACCAGCAATGTTTACAAAATAAATTTTGGATAAAGCAATAAAAAGACGTAATTTGTCTGAATCGTGTAATGTAGTTGCCCAACACATTTCGAACAACCTAATCACTTACACTAACTTGTCATAGGAATATATATATGAAAATATTAAAGAGTTTAGAGGCGAGAAAATAGACTTAGGTCAAGTTAAAAGGAGGACATATTGAAGGTCAAAATAACAATGAGGATCACTAAACCAAATGACAGAGGTAATAGTACATCTATTCTAGCTGGTATCGAAACAAAGTTTACCAAGGAAGGTGGTTTAGTGTGATGACGAATTGTTGATGTGACCGCATAAAGGTGGTTTAGACTTCCTAATTGCTACCAAGGGATTCCAAAAACTTTAGGATAGGCTTAAAAGATGTGTTAACGTCAATTTTATATCTTTTCTCTGTAATATGTTTTGTGACAGAGGAGCTAGATCTTCTATTCTCACCACTAATGGGTTCGGGGGATTCTATTTGCTTCTGGAACCATTTAGGAATATGCTGTGAAACCAGCCCTTAGTTGCAGAGATCGATGAGTCCTCCCTATGTATGAGTGTCCAAACGTAAATTCAAAATGGTAAATACAGTGAGATGTGACATCATTTTTCTCATGTTCAAAGGGCTTAGATGGATGTGTTGAAGGAGTACATTACACGATTCAGACAAATTACGTCTTCTCATTGCTTTGTCTAAATTCATAAAAGAAACTAACTGTTTTAAAACAGATTTTGTTAGCTAGGGACATTTTTGACTGGACACTAGTCAGTAACTAGTGTGATGTGTCTAGTCCTATCTTTGGCGCAGAAGCGTCATGAGTTCTTTCAACGGGAATGCAGATACGCCTTGTTGACTGGTGAGTGCCAATCAACATGAAACCTAGGTTAGGCAAGGCTTCCTGTGGCCGACTGCCTCCAACCATCTAATACCAACCATGGACACTATCTGGATTATTTTTATTTTATTTGATTTTGATTTTGATTTACAGCTTGATTCCACACCGTATTTTCAGTACAAGTATGGAATTTTCAGCATGGATATCGGTAGCCCAAATTCAGGCCGACCATAGATATTGGGTGTGCGCCGGCAGGGTATCGAACCCCGGACCATGTGCATGGTCGGCGAGAGTCCTCAGAATCTGTGGAAAGGATATATTCAAGAGACGAGACAATTCATTTCAACAACTGATTAACTATGAGAAAAATCTCTATCGGAATAATATCCGAAAAATATTTGGGAAATTTTTACAAGGTAGCAGTCAGTAGGCATTGCTGAAATAGACATGACTTACCGACCAATGGAAAAGTAGTTACATAGTCTCAGAGTTGAATATCAGACCACAGAAATGTCCAGTGGAATTACAAGATGGTAAACAATGCAAAGAAAGAAAGTCCATCACTGCATAATGAATGCGAAGTATTTCAGAGTGTTGATTGTGGTTGAACTTTGGTGCTTCTAAATTAGACCAACCAACCAACAAACCAATCCAGATAACACAATGGCATCAAAAGTATCCAATTTAACTTCATTATTTGATAAAAATGGACTTATACGTTACCACAGTATTCTAGTTTTCCTCTTCTACTCAGCACTCGGGCTATTTTTAGAAGAAATAAGGAAGCTTCTGAAATGATTTTTCAAGACATTGATAACTGCATTCGAGAAAATTAGACGATGCAATATGAAACGATTTCGAAAGTCCCACACGTATGATGACAGGATGCCAGCATATTGGAAAATCATAAATGATCGGTAGTTTGAAAACTCACAGTAAGTTTCAAATATTCCAAATGTGGATTACATGGTGAAGACAGAATTTTCTAAACTTCCCTGTCAAATAGCCTTTCTGTTACATCTATGGAAGTAATTGAAAATTAAATATTTATTTCTATACATTTCATCCTGTACGATTACTTATTAGAACTCATTGTGAACTAAAAGTAATCTTCAAATTCAAATATTTTACACATTTCATAAATACTGAAGTATATTTAAGAAAAACTGTCATTGAAAAGAAAGTGACGTAGTAACAGTCACTGTTTCTCTTCATTTTTACCTTCTTTCAAATTCATCCAGTCAACCTCTTTAATAGCCTCATTTAGCTGGTTACATACATACATGGGCTTGGCAGCTGTGTAGTTCTCGTTTGCCACAAGCATACAATCGAAGTGAAAATACAGCTTATATAGAAGTTCTATTAAACACGATGTGGTTTTCTTCGCTTAAGTATTTTGTTCAGTTGAGGAAAGCAGTGAAAGATTTGACAATGTGACCATAAAGTGATGAAATGTGCGGAGG